AAGAAGCAAATCTTCACTTTTGAGACGTTGAAAACAGCAAATTTGAAGCTCCTGGATTCTTCATTCAGAGAGCAAACAAGCGAAACCACCGAGCAGAAGAACTCAGAGCAAACAACCTGACAGCTGACTTCATTAAGTTCAGTTAAAATGTCAAAATGCTAGAATAGAGTCGTGAGTGAAGCAGCTCAACAACTGTTTGACTGTTAACCAGAAAACAGGTCACTCGGTTCAGCGTGGGATATTTTTAAAACTAATAACCAAAGTCCTGTCAACAACAGCAGAAATTAACGCTGACATATCATTGTAGCGTGTTAAATTCCACATGTGAAATTACTGCTGACTGTAAACACTGACCCGCACTTTCACACATTTTTTAGAAAGGATCTAATTGTCTCCAGTTTTCATCTATCCAACAATTTATTTTCCGGTGTGTAATGAACATCAACAACAGCCTCACGGGGCCACTGGACCCGTGCTAGACTTTTATTCTCGTAATTACTCTGTGCCCCTGTTTCGTCTGCGCCCCAGAGTCCAGATGCCATTGCTGCCGAAACTATAAACTGTAATAATAGAGCTGATGAAAAGCATGTTTGAATCAAGGCTGTCCTCGGTGCCTGTGGTGATAACTTCACATACACTCAAGAGAAATATGAAGCAGTCAGGCTCAATTCTTATGGCCCTGTATCATATAATAACTTGTTGATTTTTCTAACTACTAAAACAGTGTATTACGACAATTAGTATGTACTGTAATCTGTATAAATTTAGTGTGTAGTTTGGGGGTCACATTCAAAATCCTGCAAAAAGAAAGATTTTGTATTTAAGCATGATAAAAACTAAAATGCAGATATTTTTCATGTTGTTTTTGGAGTTTATTGAAAAGTTTGTGGGAGGAGAAAACCCACGACATCACAGGGAGAAGATTCAGTCTCCACAGAGAGAGAGAGAGCAGGCGGTCAGGAGATTGGAACCCACAACCTCCTCGCTGCGAGGCCACAGTGTGCTGCCCTCTATAAACTTAGCTACGTCTTCTTCAGGGAACTACAGTTCAAAAAGCTGACGAGTCCCTGAAATCCATTTGTTGTACATATGAGGAGTAGCTGCTCCAACACTGGCCTCGATACGCATCAGGGAATCCTCACAGTCTGTCTTCGTGATCTTCCGTGTCCCGTCAGCAGTCATACACCGGACCTGTTCTGGGCCCAACTCTCTAATCGGCCTGAATGCAGCATCTTCGGGTTAATGATGTCAGATCACCTCCTGAGTTTCCTGCAGTCGAAGATGTTTCAGCAGTTTGAATCTTGTCTGCTCATCTGATAAAACATAAAGCCTCTTTGGAAAGCGCCTCAGTGCTGCTTCATCCAGCACCCTGGCATTTCCTGACTGCAACCCATCAAACCCAATGAGGAACTTGGTTTTAATGCGACAAATGTGCTCTTGTTCTCCCTCCATCCTTTTAGAAAGCAAGCAGTCCACTGCGTCCATAAAGAAGACAGAGGGCTGTAATTCTCTGGCAGCTGCAGAAATAGAGGCTTTATTCATCCCCTTGGGGAAATTCAATTTTCCAGCAGCTCGTCCAGGTCGTGAGTCACAGCCTTATGAGCTTCTCAGACTCTCTGAAATATCTACTGGTTGAACTGGCAGCACTGATGTTGATGAACGTGGCTTTTGGATCAGTTAGCGGCGAGATCTCAGGCCGGTGAAGAGCTCAGGTCTGCAATGTCTTCACAGGGGACAGACTCTCCACTGCTGACAGTTTCACTCTCAATCCCGTTATAGATCACAACATACAGTATTTTCTGCTGAGATTTGTCATATCCTTTGGTGGCTGATTCACCGGTGCAGGTTTTCCATTCTGGGTCTTTCCCACCTGCGAGTGGTAACCTTTGGATCAGTGGTAGTCCGGGGTCCTGATGTGAGTGGACACACCAGGCACTGCATGCTGGTTTTTTACCAACACTACTACTACATGTAGACGCCAGTGTTTTGCCATGATGTGATTTATAACCATTTTATTTTGACGTGTCCTCACACCTCGTCCTGTGATCTCCACTGCTGTTCCCTTTTCAAACGCAGCAATAAGGACAGCAATGGTTGAAGTGACGGCTACGACACACGTATACATTTCAACGCGTTGCGTTTAACTCTAACAACGTTCAGGAAACGACTCCTTCAGGAAACCGAGGTCTTTGTGAGCGTCGCTACAACATGTTTGGAGAGCGGTTGATATTTGCTTTAGAGACAGTTTAATATCAGATGAGGAGTTTATATAAATGCATCTGTGACTTCAGCACCACAGACAGCGCCATGGTTTATCAATACTCAGCTCAGTGAGGTTGTGGGTTAAGAAGTAAGAAATGTTTATAGGCCCATTGATCTTACACCACGCTCGTCTGAAGATGGACATGTTGCTTACAGAGACATTTTCTCTGTTATTCTGTTATTTTCTTTTTCAAATTTTCGTCCTCCCCACCTGAAAACACTCGGAGCTTCTGACGTGGCTGTAGACTCTGCAGACGCTGTAATCTCGTTCATTAATTAAACTTTAAAGGAAGTTTCTTCACTTGAGAGTTTGAATTGAAAAAAAATAGCTTGTGAAAGACTCTTCCCTTCTGTTGGAAACCATTCAGTCAGCAGGAAGGAACTGGTGGATCTGTGCCACCTCAGACTGGGGGGTGGGGGGGAGTTGTTCACGGGCCAGAGAGCTTAACATGCCGCAGACATGTTTGAGACATGTTGGCTATGATATCATAATCTGCTCAGTCAGCCCCTGAGGTCAGACAGCCATCTGTGGTCCCAGACAGAGAGCATCATGGGACGAAATCCACCGGCGTTCCTTCGTCTCTGTCCTGCTGTTAGCACAGACACGTCTCAACCCACCACGACCCCTCGACATGGAATGACCTCTTGTTTAGCTGCGTGCATGCTTGTAGGGCTTATGGGAAATGGTGTTTGTTAAATGCAACAAAAAACATAAACATTACAATTGCAGGTGAACCAAAACATTTATAACCTTCCGTACTTATTAATGGTTTACCAGCATTTATAAGTGCATTATTACTGAATAGAAACATACAGACATGTTATAACATGAATTAGGACTTCTCAAATAAAGGACCTCAAATAATATTATACCATAATATTTAATAAATGATTATGTTATAATAAGTCTGCAGCTGTAAATGTTGATAATTTATAACTGGATGTTGGTCCAGATCTCCTGCAGGCCTTTAGAAAAGGATAAGTGGTGAAACATCTGAGACGTCCCCCTAACTAATTAAAACAAATTAATTGGAAAAACTTTTAGGTGGCCAGGTTGTGAAAACTCCTCCTACAGCACGACACTGATCTATAAAACAGGAAGTGATTTATTAACCGTTCCAGCTCATAAACCCTGTGGTGCTTCAACAGCAGCATTAACAAATGTGCATGAAGCTTCTAATGAATCACTGAACACATGAATAAATGACAAGCAGATAGAAATGATGCCAGAAAATTAAATAAATGGAAGTAAAAGAGCCTGCAGTGACTTTCCAAGGGCGGCCGTGGAGATAAGTTGATGTCAGGGTTTTAACAGTAAATGAAATCACTTTAATGCATAATGCAGACGACAGAGTGCTCTTATCTGTTCTCTCCCTGGGCGGCTGTTTCTCTTCACAGTGTGTTGAGTAACAAAACAAAAACAACATTAAATCAGGAAAGGGAATTAGTTAAAGTGATTTGATCTGACCTCCCTTAGTTTTTCAGGCTCCATCATTTGTTTGTATGTACTTTTAAAGGAAACTAAATGTATTAAACTAAGTTAGACATCACCGTCCTGTCTGTTTAGCTTGTGACTCAATATAATGCACTTGTAAACAGGTGGAAGGACATTTCAAGTGTTTATTAATGTGCAGTATGTGTCAATAATTATAGCTTCTCCTATAAAGACATTTTGTATTATTACATCTGTATTTTACTATATTCTGATTCATTAACTTTTTATAAAGCAGATTTTCTGAGAAGAGTTATAGCTCTTAAATACATTACATTATATTACAGTGCATTATGCACCATTTATTAAAGCCATATTTTCTTCTTCTTCTCTGTTTTATTTGAAGTGTTGATCCATCAGAAGATATAAAAACCATCTCAGTGTAGTTTTACATCTCCTCTCTCAGGCTTCTCTCTGCAGCTCTAGTAACAACAGGTCGGTGAGCCAATCAGAAGAGAGGAGGCTCTGAGCCGCTCTTCTGATTGGCTGACTGTTTTCTGAGTGATCCAATAAAAATATAGCAGATTTCAGGTAAAAACACTCATAGAAACCAAATCCTGCAAAGGTTTGGATGGTAGGTCCAGGTGGGCGGGGCTTGGTGACTGCTTTGTTGTGACATCACAAAGTTCCAGAAGTCCTGACGGCTGGTTTTAAGGCTCAGTTTCTGAATACAGGCTGTGTGCATTTCTCTGTGGACTGAGGCTTTGATACTTTCACAGTATTAATATAGAAGCTAGAGCTGATCTATAATCACACTACACATGGACACAGACCTTTACACTGGAGGATCTTTAATAGTTTATATTCTTATAAACAGGGGAGGCTAAAGAGATTATCTTTTTATAATTGGCAGTCAGACTTGGTTAAAAAAAACCTATAGAGAGCTGAAAAATATGCTTTGTCACAATTATATAATGAAAATTACACCTTTTTTTTAAAGATTTTTTTATGCATTGATTCATATTAAGGAAAGAAATTAAGGTTGATAGGTTGTCTCCATAAAATTGTTGGTAGCAATCATTATTATGGATTTCATCTTATTGTTCCACAGTCGCAGAGCGCACTATATCGTCTGTTTTAGATTATATGTGAGTTTACTCTGCTGAATATAATTTCCTCTGGAGGATCAACAACATTTCATTTCAAATGAAAGAATTGATCCAGTATCAGAGGTTTTTTAATGTAACAGGACGTTGTGGTTCACAGTAATATCATGTTTAAAGTGTTTCTCCTCTCTTTCCCGTAGCTCTTCTGGCCAGCTGTGATGCCTTCAGACTGGGTTCGTCCCAGCGTGTCATACCCCTCAGTCCCCCTGCGGCCCGTCTGTTCCAGGATGAAAACCCAGCCCTGCCTCAGTTCATCCAGGAATTAGTCAGAACCAAACGCCACATGGTCCATGAGTTAGTGCGAGCCCAGCCTCATTTGGTTCACGACATGGGCTGGCCCGAGATTCATGAAATATCCCGTTCCCAGGCCCAGACGGACTCAGCGAACGCCTCACAGTTAAACCCATCGTCCTCTGCAGGTCAGGACGTAGCCAGGGCCGCACCCGCCGTGGATGAAAACCTGGATGTGGAAGACGAGATGGAGGTGAGGGTTCGTTTGAAAGGGTCAATAACCAAGTCAGTGGTTCCTGTGCCTCAGAGCACGTCTTATTTTAATGATGACGCCTGAACATTCAGCACTGAACTGAAACATGTAGAAAGCTCCATTTTTCTTTTTGGTTCGACGGGGGAGAGATCACTGGTTGATTCATCAATTAATTCTTCCTGTTGCTAACCAGCTCTCCATTTCGATCCTCCAGTTTTTGCCGTGTGTGTGATCTTTTAGTAAAATGTGGTCCAGCAGCAAAGTGTTCTGTCTGGCGACAACATCAAAGTCCTGTCATTGGCTTATCACAGTGATGGGCCTTAATAAAAGAAAAAAAACAACAACGAAGGGAGATTTAAAATATTCTTGAAACATTTAAAAACATTATTTTTATAAATGCATCACGTCTGCAGCTCTTCCATGGCCCACAGGCTGGGAACCACTGAGCTAAGTATTTTAGTTTATGTGTGTGTCTGAAGTTAGCATGCTAACCAGCTAGCCCCTCACCCGTCCTGTCCTGTAATACCACTCTGTACCTCAAGAGGTTGGTAGAGAGCGTCCACTCTGCCCTAAGTCCCACATGAGAGGATGAAGACGTATAGTCATCACCACTACATCCTCCCAGTCTCTCTAACTGGGCAGACTGGGTGCGGAATCGTCGTCAGTCTAACAAACAACCAACCGGTTACATTCACATAAGCAGATTGTAAGGTAACCCCCGTGTGGAAAACATTGTTCCTTCATCCATCTCGTATGTTTCCACCCATTTTATTTCTATATAGTTTTTAAAGGCATTAATTAATGTAAATGAACTAATGAACGAGTCAGTAAAGAGCCCATTGGAGCAGAGATCAGATATAAAACCACATCTGTTTGATCAAACAAAAGTCTGCTGTTAAAGCTACAAACATATATCTGTCTCAGTGTCAGTATCTCTCTGCTCCCAGCGTATGGTTCATCTGGTGGCGCCGCAGGATGCAGAAAGATACAGGGGACAGCCGGACGCCGCCGACCCAGAGACGGAGCTCTTAAGTGGGCCAGGAGCTGGCGACGCCTCCCAGGAGGCCTCTGGTTTCTACGGAACGGACATGGAGGACAGAGACAGAGGAGAGGAGGGAGGAGAGGACCGAGAGAGAAAAGGGGGAGAGGAGGAGTGGGAGAGAGAGGAGGACAGAGAGAGGAGAGGGGGAGACACCAGAGGAGAGGAGGAGGAGGAGGAGAGGACGGAAGGGATGGACGATCAAGATGCTTTAGAGGCCAACCGCACAACGCCGGATCTGGACGCTCTGATTGGTTAGTAACAATTATTCTCCTTACAGAACTAAATCAACACACCCTCAGGCGGCCATATTGGCTCCTCAGCTCTCTGTGCATCACTCCAGGATTCAGTCACAAACTGCTGTTGCCGTGCAACGGGAAGTTACATCTCATCTGAGATCCTGCAGACGTCCGCCGTCTGCCCCGAGTTATGAAATGTTTGCCCAGAGCAAAACCAGTACAGACCGTGCTGCTCTGCTCTTTATCATTGCTGGACAAACATGAAGTCAGCTGTTCTTGCTGTGGCTGGAACAATCTGGAGATATTGAGATTAAATGTTGATCGATTGCCTGAGGGAAGCCTTGATTAATTCTTTCAGGGCAGAGAGTGAGATCACCAGGATACCGGTGAAAGTACAGCCTGCTGTTAACAAGTCAAAACATTGTTTTAATTTTTAGCCACGCTAGCTGCATGGATCTGTAGTGATGGCAGTATATTAAAGGCTCAGGGTTTTCATCTAGTTCTAAAATGTAGTTTGCTAAATGTAACGTAACATTTGTTCATGTTAACTGAGTTTTATTTAGCTTTATTTAGGTTTTGTTGCTGCAGAATTAATCAAACTTTCTCCCCCACATTCAAAGCTAAAAGGACACACACACACACACACACACACACACACACACACACACACACTCAAACATGTGTTTTTGACATGTGCCTTTGTGTCTCACAGGCTACAGTCCATCTCTCCACCCCTCCAGCTCCAAGCAGCCCAGCAGCATCTCCTCCCCAGCTGAGGTGCATGATTCTGGGCCACAGGAGCACCGTGCGTCCCCGGTCCTGGAGGTGAGGACAGAGAAAGTAGTTGTGTAGTTAAACGGTATCATCTGCAGAAAGATTAAAAACAACTTTGGAAAGGTAGAGGAACTTAAACTTCACACATAATTAGCAGAAACGTAAGTCTTACAAAAATAAACTCAACCAGGCGGAAATCATTTTATAATTTGAGTCGTGCAGTGATTCTTTAAGATAAGCCACTGTTTTTCACAGTGACAGTGCTATTTTGTTTTTGTTTCTGTTCTCTCTGCTGCAAAATAAAGTCAGTTTTTAACATCACACACACACACACACACACACACACACACACACACAGGACTTTGAGGCGTCAGTTTGCTTCAAACACTGTGCTTATAATCGGATTATCCAACAAGCGTCTGAAACCACTTCCCTCCACACATGTTGGAACTGCTGCAGACAGGTGTTTGTAACTCAGGTTTGTAACCAGGTGTGTGGAGCTACTGAAACAGGCATCTGGACCTTTCTCTCTGGGTTGCCATGGTTCTGCTCTGATCTAAGTGCACTAAAAGCTCTAATTGTAACCACTGAGAGACAAAAAGTAAAGAAATGGAAGTGTATTCATGTGAAAATGTTCCCCTTTATTACTTTTAAGAAGCTTTTTATGAGCAGGTGCCTTTGAATGTTAATCATGTACGGACGTGGAGCAGCAGGGTCGATGGAAATCAGCAAGGACGATATAAAAAAAGAGGAATCATCAGCCACAGTTGGACTTTAATTGGATCGTAGTAAATCAGATGTAATCCAGGGCTCACCTACTAACCTTTTGCTGGATAATTTAATTAGTCTTTAACTGATTTATGGGATTAGTGGTGTTTCTTTGGCCCATTATCGACTCAGCGAAAGGAGATAATGGTTCTTCTCCCACTTCATCTCTATTAAACCTCCAATTTACAAATGAATGGAAGCACACAGACGAGTCTTTGGGTCTTTTCACGTCAATATGAATAAATCATGTTATTACTACACGCTTCCTTTCAGTGATGATCACGACCTCTTCACCACACGCTACCAGGAATATTACTGACACCAGTTCCACTGCTGCTTCTACTTCTAGTCAAAACTTAACTACCCGTGTTTCACCACGATCACAGGTTCTCTCCACAACCACCAGAGCATCAGATATTGTGACTGTTCATATAGAAGCGACACAGTTTGTTTACATCTCTTACCACCGACCAACAGAAAAAAACAGACAAACAAACAAACAAATGCAAATCTGATAAAAATCAAATTAAAATAAAATAAAATAAGGATTTATAGTTTGGGGGGAGGCACATAAAAGTCAAGATAATAATTTTCATCGGATGCAAAATAAGTAGACGCCGTTGAGTCGCAGGATGAGTCATAAGGTTTGAAACCGTTTTACAGGAAGATAAAATACATTGATTTTGATGAACTCAAATAAGTATTTTTGACATATATTTGGAATATAAGAAGATAAATGAACAATCAACACGGAGACTCAGGATCAAAACTGGGAAAATATATTTTTCATTTCATGAGGCCTTTTTAAAAATTTAAATTTGATGTGAGTGGTATAAAAAGTCTTATTTTTAATTATACAAAATCTTAAATTTTTAAATGACATCTGTGCCTGTGAGAAATCACAGCGGGGATTTAATGTTGGGTATTTGAATATAAAAATCAGCTGCAGTTTCTGTCTTTACGGAGTCTCCACACGTCCCCTGAAGGTGCCAGGATTTGGGAAGTAAACCAGTCATTTACAGATGATGCTAAGCTAAAGACTCGCTACATAAGAGACATTTATTGTACATTTGTTCTATGGAGATCGTTATCAATATTGGAAAAATAATCACAGTAATCATGTTACATCTTAAAAAGGTCTTGTAAAGCTTTATATTTGAGTGTGCAGAGGTTCTGGATGGGAAAACCACCGCTGACACCTTGAGCTGTCACCACCGGCGTGACTGTGTCTCCCTGTGACCTGGTGTCGTCTGTCACGCAGGTGGGTCCTATAGAACGAGAGCTGTGGGAGGCAGAGGGGGAGGAAGACGTTCAGTCCAGTGGTTATGGAGTCTTTCACTCCTCCATCACTACGACTAGTACGACATCTACTGCGGCTGCTGCTTCTTCTTCTACTGCTGCTGCTGACGCTTCGGGAACCGCCACCCCTGAGACCGACACTGGCACAGACTTTGGGCTGCTGGAAAGTTACACAACAGGTATATGAAATTAAATTTATTTACTGATTACAGTGTCTCTGTAATAAGCTTATTATTATAAAGTATCAGGTTCTACCTTTTCTACAGATGAGAATGAGGATGAAGACAGAAGGAGGGAGGAAGAAGAGGAAGAGGACGAAACAGGTCTGACACACACAGGTGTATTCAGCCAGAATCCCACTGTACCTGAGGTCGGCATGGCTCCCAGCAGAGAGCCTCTGCAGCCCAGCGTGGAGGAGGAGGAGCAGCTGGAACAGCGAGAACACGAGTCCAAAGGTGAGAAGGCTCTTAAACACTAAATTATTACAATACAGAACTTAGAGTCACCTCCTCGTGGTCGTATCCCTCCGCCACTCAGACTCGTTCCAGGTCACATCCCCGTTTATCCAGAGTCAGAGAAAATATGAACCATCCGTGTGAAATTTTGTCATAATTGCTGCGTGAAGTCCTGATTAAATGGCTAAAAAGTGTTTTACTGAGGTCACTGTGACCTTGACCTTTGACCTTTGACCGCCAGAGTCTAATCAGTTTGTCCTTGAGTCCAGGTGAAGGTTTGTGCAAAATGTGAAGAAATTCTTGAAGAGTTCTGGAGATGTTGCGTTCATGAGGCCAAAATCATGTTTTGTGAGGTCATCATGACCTTTGACCTTTAGCCACCAAAATCGAATCAGTTCATCCTTAAATAGTAGTGAATGTATGTGCGAAATCTGAAGAAGTTCCGTTGAGGCGTTACTGAGATATCGTGTCCAGGAGAATGAGACGGACGGATGGATAACCTGAAAACAATATGGCGGCTCTATCTGTGCCCGGTGTGGAGGAAATAACAAAATGGCGACCGACCGGAGAATCGATATTACGAAAGGTCGAAGTGACAGTCAGTTAAATCAGTTCACTGTAAACTGATTCTGTCCGTGTTTGCTCAAGGAGACGGAGGCGCGGAGGTGGAGGAGGAGACGTGGAAGAAGACGACGAGACTCAGGCACATCGTCCCGCTCACCACGGGCCCCTCCCCGACCATCAGCTTCACCGACCCGTCCTGGGATTGGCTGGAAAAGACCACGCCCCTGCAGGCCAAGAGGTCAGAGGTCAGCGGCGCTGGTGTCACAGCGGTCTTCTTACCGGTCAGTCATGTCGATGAGCTGGAGAAGGTATATCAGGTACGTTAACACCTCAGAGGACGTCACAGGAGGAAGTGGACAATAAACATGTGGCGTCTTTAATACAGACGCACATTTATTCCAGCTCACGTCACGGTTGTTTTCCGACTCAGGTGGTGTGTGTGGACTGGAGTGAGCTGGCTGGACGGGGGTACGTCATCCTCAACATGACGCAGAACTTGAACTGTGTAAGTACAAAGAAATTAAAATGGCTTTTGTTATTGCTACAAAGCTAGCGTTAGCATTGACAGCTGTTTACTTACCGGTCTAGAAATAACGTTGTGAGTTCAGCATCAAACTTCATTCCTTTACTCACTAACATCTGTCTCCAGAGGTGGCGTGTAACACCTTTCTTTCTCCTGGGGTTAGCATGCTAACCAGCTAGCCCTGGTCCAGTCAGACGGCCTTGTCACTTTCACATCCCGAGTCACTGTAGCTTCCTGAAGAAGCAACTTCTCAGAGGACGTATTATAACCTCTTGTCTTGTACCGTCCTTTTCAGGCGATCTCTGGTTTTTTTAAGTCCACGCCAGAGTCTGATTCACAGCCCAAACAAACCACATGAAACGTTTTCTCACACACGGTCAGAGCCAGAACTAAAGGACATGAAGGACTTCAGCTGAGCTACACAGACAGAACTGCACAGTGGTTTTGTGTGTGATGGAGGAGGGACCTTCGCTGTGGGGTCTGTTGCCATGGCAGCAGCACAAACCCTCACTGCAGTGACCTCACGTTTTGTTACGGCAACACAGACGCAGTCTGAGCATCTCATCCTCTCTTTTACCTTTAATACAGACAAGAAGATGTTTTGTACCTGAAACACTTTTTGATAACATGTAGGAAAATGTGTGTGTGTGTGTGTATGTGTGTGTGTGTGTGTGTGTGTGTGTGTGTGTGTGTGTGTGTGTGTGTGTGTGTGTGTGTGTGTGTGTGTGTGTGTGTGTGTGAGACAGGAGGAGTTCCGTGTAGACCAGGGCGTGCGGTTGTTGAGGATCATGGAGCAAGTATTTGCTCGAAGGATGAATAGCCCCGAGGGATCATGGGTACTCTACCTCAGCAAGCCGACACACCAGCAACACCAGCTGCTGATGAACGTGGCCTCTGAACAGGGTAAACACACACACACACACACAAACACACAGACACACACACACACACACACAGTTTGAATTTTGAGTTTATTTTCTCGGGTTAAAATCAAATAAAAACATGCAAACAACAATGAAAATCTGAGAAAAAAGTCCCAGATGAGTTTTATATATATGACTGATGTTCAACAGGAGCATTGTTTTGGTGAACATTAGGGCCTAACTGTAAATAAAAATGTATATTTCTCGAGTTTGGAACGAGAGAGAAGGCTAGCTGAATCAGTAGCTTCTTTTAAATCACTTCATAAAACTCATTTTTATTGACGATGACGTCTTTTTTTCATCTTTTTATCACCTTCATATCGCGCGTTTATTGCTTTTACTGTGTTTCCAGGCGTGTGTGTTTTTATACAACATCTGCTCCCTCTTATTGTCCTTATCTATAATTAATTATATTATATTATACTGTATATTATTATATATTAGTCCTCAGTCTGTAACTCGACCTTATTTCTGTTCTGTTTGTCAAAACAACTTGTTTTTTAAAGGTGCTATATAAATAAAATTATTATTATTATTAGTATTATATGATTTTTTTCTAACCTGAAAAACATGTGAGCTGAACCTGTTTTCAGCACTGTGTGGTGTCTGCAGGTAATCCTCTTCATCACAGCCTGAGATGTGAAACACGGGGCCAAAAATCAATATCAGCAATTTCTATCTCAACTACATTCTGGACAGTAAGAGAACGATATTCAGTAAAAAAGAAATCAGTCTGAAACAATAAAAGTAAAGGGAGACAAAAGCAGGATTTTATATAGTGAGGGGGATCATTTCCCCCGTGTAGCTGACTGAACACTGCGCCCTCAAACGAGTTCTGATTACTGTCGTAGAAGCAGCTCATGTCGAAGCAGTTTCCTTAATTAATTTGATAAATAGACAAAAATAGATTGTCTGACGTCGCTCTCGGTTATTTTCAGCAGCAGAAAACCTTCAACAGTCTGAGACGTCTGCAGCGAACGTCAGCTTTTAGTGTCGGACAAAAAAACAAAAAACAAGACATCAAGGAGATCCTTCAAGAAGAAGTTTGCTCCGGTGCATGCAGCCTGGTTAACTCAGCTGCTCATATGCTAAATATATTCTCATATATATGTGTATAGTCTTTCATATAAGCACATGTGTTTATATACAAAATAACACTGGTGTGTGTTGTGTCTTCCAGGAGTGATCGCTACCAAGGACGTGCTGGACATGTTGGGACAGATCAGGAAGAGTCTGAATAAGGTAGAGCACAGCTCGAATGATGATCTTTAAATGAGTCTCACAACAAATGAAAGTAGAGATTACATATAAAACACATTGTGATTCCTGCCTGGAGCGTAAAGGCTTCTTGCCTAAAGAAAGGATGCGGCTCTCTCGCTTCCTTCCTGAATATTTTTAGAAAGCTGAGCTAAACGTGACAGAGTTTAAAAATATTCCAGCTTTTAGCAAAAAAGCTCAGCAGGATTCAAACTGGTTTATTAGCTGTAAAGCAACGACAGGAAACACGAACAGGCTTCCTCACAGTGTCTCTCATCGGGGCCTGGAGGCCTCAAACATTTACTCATGTGCTGTTCTAAAGAATTATTTCATGTGCCACTCCTCCGCTACAGCTCAGCGAACATAATGTTAGTTTTATTCCACCATGTTCGTCTTGAGCAGCTACAACAGCAACATGCTATATGTTTAATCAATGCATCCTTATCAATAATGTAACATTATGTCATAGGAAGTATTGTATCAGTCACAGGGGAGGTTTTTCTGCAGAATGAGGAATTTTAACCTCTGATACTTCAAGTACATTTAGCATTACATTACCAAAATGTCCAATTTGAAAACCCTAACATATAACATATCAACTTTACAGCACATATTATTCAACCCTCGCCAGCCCCAGCCCCCGTCACAGCCCAGAGTCCCTCACATTAAACAGTATTTCTTCCCTGGAGTTTTACAGAGAGGAGCTGGAAGTCGGGTTTTACATTCAGGAACGAAAGAGCGAGGAAAGAAATCAATAACAAAGGAAGGGTTTATAAATGGATAACCTACTGTAGTCTGTATTACTGACAAAAAACCAACTGAACAACAGAAAATAAATATAGAAAATAAAGGGGAAATCAATCCTTAATTTGACTGAAGTGTTCTAGGAAAGGTTCCCATATCTTCAGGAACTGAGAAGCGGATCTTTTCAAGACTAGAGCAGGACATAATGTCCCCCAGTCAGTGAGCATGTGTGGGCGGGGCAGCGTCCCTCCATCTAAATAATACTGCATGCCTGGCTAAAAGAGACGCAAAGACAGCATGTGGCGTTAGTTTGGAGTCAGGCGTTCTTCATTTCCTCAAAAACACCAAAAAGTGCGACGGGGGGGGGGGGGGGGGGGGGGGGGGGGGGGGGGGGGGTTGGATTTGTAATGGACTATTTTTATAGCCTTGTTTGATATCGCAGATAAGTGGTGTATGTGTGTGTGTGTGTGCATGCGTGCGTGCGTGTGTGTGCGTGTGTGTTTGCCTCCTCAGGTCGGCATCCAGAACTACAGTGCAGCCGGTAGTTGTCCGTCTCGGCCCAGTCAAACACGCAGCGACTACGGCAAGCTGTTTGTGGTTCTGGTGATCATCGGCTCCGTCTGCATGGTCATCATCACATCTGGATTTATATACATCTGCTGGCAGAGACGTCTGCCTGCAACTAAGACTACGGTCAGTAAACACACGTCTTTTAGCTGAAGAGACCCAAACAGTTTTTGTACCAGGCTGTAAACATGTTTATTTCTGCTGTAAAGTTTTAACATGGGAGTCTATGGGGACTGACTCACTGTTGGAGCCAGACTGTAGTGGTCGTTAGAGGAACTGCAGGTTTTGGTTCTTCACTGCTCTCTGACCTCGCAGTTTCGTGCCGAGGAGCTTCACTTTGTGGAGAACGGTTGCCACGACAACCCCATGCTGGACGTGACCAACGACGGCCAGCCCGAGATGCAGGAGAAGAAGCCGAGCGCCAACGGGCTCGCGGGGGGAGGAGAAGGAGGCAGGGAGGATGGCAGTCGCTGGCAGGTGATGGGATGACTGGTTTTAGTGAATTTACTGGGAGAAACAAAGATGAACAGATGGATGAGTCAGTAAAGTTTCAGGTTGGTTTGGAAAAGCTTAAACTGTTTAGTGTCTCTCATCTTGTCTTTGTTTTTTTTTCAGGTGTTTGTCAATCAAGCAGCGACTGAGGAGGAGGAAGAGGAGCAGGACACACATCTCTGATGGACAAAGAGGAAGAGGAGACAGGTCATGAAGGATGGCCATCTTTGACAGATGATAAGTGGAGCCTAGAGAGGAGAAGAAGAAGAAGATGAAGATGACAGCAGAGAAAACAGGAAGTCTTCAATGGAGAGAGGATAACAGAGAAGAGGAGAGGAGAAGGAGTTGGTGGGAAGGGGAAGGTATAAAACCCGAGTCCAGTCAGAGTCGAGCTAGGATTGAGGAGCACAGCAGGAGGAGTCACTGGTATCATCTTAGACACTGAGGTAAACATCACAGACTTGGAATTCATGGAAAGACAATAAACTTGCCGATCTCCAAGACGTCGACCTCTGGACTTCAGATAATGTCAGATCCCATGAAAACACCCCTGTGTAGTGTGCCTTATGCTTTTAGCTTTTAGCAGTGTGGCTGCACGAGACAATTTAAACATGAAACTACCATAAAGCGTCTTCAATCCAACTTAAATGCTTGAATGTAAAAGCAGTGAAGTTTGGTTGTTATTTTGTGTCACAGCCGATCCTGACGAGAGCGGGAACCTAAAATAATTTCAGATATTGAAGCACAATTACAGCCGCGGAGATGGTCAGTGGTTTTACACCAGTGTCTAACATCAGCGACTCCTCTTAGCTCCTCCTCCGAATCACTGAACAGGAAGTACGGCCTGTAGCAACTTTGAAAGTAAGGTTTTGGCACTTTATTGATTCCTCTTGGAAATAGTGACTATCATCGTTAAAATGCTGCATCATGTTAAATGTATTACATAAAGTGATTGAAATATCTCTATTTTGCTTATAGGAATGGTTGTAACCGCTGAGGATGTTTACCGTACACTCTACAACAAAGTCATGTGATTGATATACTTATGTGCTGTTTAGCCTAATATGCTTTTTTTTTCCAATAGCGTTTGAATGGCTGCTCTATGCTCCTGGCTAAAATCTTGAGGCGATGACACGTGGGCAACATTTAGAGGCCTGAAGCATGAAAACAAAGCTAGTCACAGTATCCAGTTAAAGATACTGAACCCCAAGTCCAAGTCGAGCCCCGAGTCTTCAGTGTTTTAGTGTTAAATGTCAAAGTCAGAGTCAGAGGATATGACCGAGTCACCGGGGATTTATCTGAATCGCTACGGTCATGTCCGAGTCACATCTGTGATTTGAGTCTTTTTTTTATCATTAAAGTCACGTCTCAGTCCCGCCAAACCACCACAGCCATGTTCGAGTCACTACGGTCATGTTTTATGTCACGGACTGAGTCAGTAAAGTCATGTTCGGGTCCCTCGTATCACCCACAAGTCACTGCAATCATGACTGAATCATTACAATCATGTCTGAATGCCTTTGGTCATGTCTGAGTCACTACGGTCACATCCGAGTTACCATGGTCGCATTTGAGTTGCTACATTCAAGTCCGAGTCACCGCGATAATGTTAGAGTCACGGTTGTCATGCTCAGGTCACATGCTCATGTCAGAGTCATTAAGGACATGTACAAGTAACTACAGCTGCTTTTCTTCTGGTCAAAAAACGCGCTGACATCAGGCTTTTGTCAGCAATGGAAAAGGGAACAATCAGCATTCACACCTGAGTCAAATCACTTGTGATGTAAATCCAACATCTGGGTGGACACGATCATTTTTGCCCCTTTTTTCCTGCTGTAACGTCTTTCGAAGCACTGACACTGTAAACACACCTGTCACCTGTCCAGCACGATAACACCAGAAACACTGCAGCTACACCTTCCTCAGAGCACGAGCTGCAGCCCCGAAATAAGTTTTAAAAACACCCTATGACAGATTGGAGCGTCTCACACGGAGGCTCCGACACTTCTACAGTGGAAAAAGGGTCAATCTGCTTTTATTAGCAGGTTTAACTGCGTTTAAAAAAACCCGCGTGTACCTGCTAATATTGATGGAAACAGGGAATATGATTCTGACCATGTCTGAGTCATCGCAGTTGTGCTGGTTAATACAGTCATGTCCCAGGCGCTATGATCATGTCTGACTCACGAGGTCGTGACTATGTCTCTACAGTTGCTGTACGTTCAGACCGAAAACAGCGAGAACATCAAAGTGACAGGAAGTCATTCATTTTCAATGTGAGCTGGCATCTCTTGGCGGTAAACAGCGCCATGCCCATTGGTGATGCATTTTGATTGGTGTGTTCGTCAGAGAAAGTTGAAGTCCAGGCAACTTAATGTTAATGAGCTATGACGCCATTCTGCAGAATGTAGTAGCGCTCCACTCTAGAGGACACTAGAGAACACAACTGTGTAAACTTTAGTTCCTATCAAACATTTGTTCCCAAGTACGACAGAGGAGTTTTTGGTAATGGCGGCGGCAGGTTTCTCCGTCCTTTATGACGACATTGTAGTTTTCCAGATGAGTTGGTGACGTGTTGCCTTAATTATAAATATATAAATATAGGGAGTTACATGCTAACTAGCACCATAGCATACTAAACAGCTACGTCAGAGCGCCCACAGACTTCAACAGCGTCCTTGAATGTTCGGCCAGAGCGTTTTTTTTTGGGTTTTTTTGCTCTCGCCACTTTCGGTCTGAACACAGTCATAATCTGACTGATTGATTAACCAACAGTGAAGTCCAAACTGAGTTGCACGTAATTTAAAGTGGGACTTATACTGGGCGCCAATTATGAAACACTGACTAGTGACCAAACTCATAGCACATGTGGTGACATCCCACATCAGATGGACATAATTATTTCAGATAAATGTGTCTGATTCTCAGTAAGAGGCGTTCGCTGACTCAAGTCACTGCTCAGTTAATTGGAACGGAGATAGACAATTGGCAGCAGCTCTGTTCAACATTATTTTTTTATTGTTTTTTTTAATTTATATTCGGTTTTTAACATTGATTTTGTTGCTGCAGCTGTCAGTCTCTGTTCCTCTTACTAACAGTATTGCCCATCCGCATTTCATAGAGATGTTGCCTGTGTTTCGGCTCTTTTACTCTGACTTTTCTCTATGTAACAATACTGTATATGGCTTCACTATAAACTACGCTGATTGATATGCACTTTGCCAGCTAAGCAGGATTTATAAAGCGATCAGGACAGAGCTGGGACTCCTGAGTACCTTAAATGTAGATAAACTGTTTCAGAGAGCACAAGACAAAAGGCAGGACACAGTCCCCTCGTCCTCCACTGGAAGACAGAATAGATGAGCATGTAGCTTTCAGCACTGCAGCGAGCATCAATATAACAAAACATACAGCCTCTGTTTCTTTTATTTGCTGAAGGAGAGAATTTGAAAGACAAATTTTGTTGGTAGAAATCAACTGAACTGGACCCTGAACAGATTGTGATCCTTTAAATTAGTCTTCACAGATGTTATTTCTTTTCAGAATCTGATCTCAGCCTCATGTATGTTTGCATTTGTTAGCGGTGCTAGTGTAAGTCAATGGGCATTCAGTTGTAGCAAAAAAACAAATGACCCTGTTATAAAGCAAAGTTTCCTGGTAGGGTTTGTAACCAGGTTTTTGTTCAACATTTTGTTGAGTTTTTATTCATTCACCCCAGGTATTGTATTTCTTTTAATTCATTTTACAGATCTTTTTTGTATGTCTCTTTATATACATTTTGATTACATATCGTCTCACTCTTTTGGTTGTCAGTGTAATGAGTTCAATGTGAGAAATAAAGTTTGGAGAAAACGTGATTTTATGTCATTTCTTTTCCCTGCAACCCAGACCTGGATAAATGGGTCAAGAATATAAACAAATAGACAGGATGTCTTGTATTTGCAGGATTTAATATTTGTTCTTTTAATTTAAATAATTGTGAATAAACAGTTCATCATTCATACTTAAAGTTTGACATGAGCACAGTTACACCAGACTCCTCCCATTTTCAAACATCATTTTGTGCAAGTCACAGTTGCACTTTGCATCATGAATCTGCAGGCATTCTGATAACGTAACTTAAATGATAGGAATGAAAATCTGGAAACACCAGATCCGCTGTTTAAACTGTAGTAAATGAGAACTGAGTGAGGCTCTCAAAGCTATTCAATGAAACAAGGGTGCAAATAATGATTATTTACATTGTCAATGAATCTAGGGATTATTTTATCGATTATTCTACAAATTGTTTGGTCCATAAAATGTAAGAAAATATTAAGAACAAGAAATAATTATGCTTGTACTGCTTGTTTCGTCCAACCAAAACAGTCTGAAACCCAAACACATTCAGTTTAATGTAGAACAGAAAACAAGCAAATATTCCAATATTATGAAGTTGAAATCAGAGAATATTTGTTTTTTTGCTTAAAACTTACTTAAATGATTAATCAATGACCAAAACAATTTAATTCAATTTTCTGTTGATTGTGCAATTGATTAATAGAGTAATTATTTAAGCTCTAGCACGAAGCATACTTTGCTCCACTGTGGGTAAACAGAGTTACCTGGTTAAAAAACAATAATTACATTATATAGAGTTATTGTATTTTCTTATAGCAGTAATACATACCCAGTAAGGGATTCAAACAGTTATTGTTGGGTAAACCCTGCAGAGGTGAAGATTAATGCGTTCAGGCGGACCGCAGTCTCCTAAACCTTCTGGCACCAGGGGTCCTTCGAGCTAACGCAAATGCCTGTTAGCTGGATGCTAGCTTGCAGCTACGTGCGCAGTCAGTTGTGAGGATAGAGAAGGTAGAATGAGCCCGAAAGATATCAGGTTAGTTCACATTTGTTTACAAATTCACTCCCAACGCAGACTCTGACTATTAATATGCGCCATTTTGATAGCTAGCTAGCTGAGTTTTTTTTACACCGGTGGTTCAAAACATTCGTGAAATCTTTTGTTGTGTTTCAATGTAAGCTAGCTAGTTAGCCTCCGGTACGTGCTTTCTTTACTCTACGGATGAAACGTTAATGCCAAACTCCGTCCCAGTCTGGGTGAGTTATTTCGGTAGCCTTGCTTAGATCTTCCAAAACGTGATATGTAGTTACCTCTTGAAATGTTAACGTATTTCTGGTTACAAACCGAGAGCTGGACCACCGAGTCCAAACATTCAGCTCTGTAATGCTCTAGTTTTAGAACCAGCTCACACTGCTAGCTAACGTTACCGCCCACTGCGATGGATGTGCTACTGTGGGTAAGACAATATTTAACGGTTAGGATTACTAAATTTAAAGTTCTGTTTGTGTACTTTCAGTATACTGAAGTAACGAGTGGTTCCCATTAGCTCTGAAATGAATTAGTGCGATATGTTTAGTTGCGTTTGTTTTCACTTCCAAACCTGGCAACGTTAAATCGGTAGATTTTTGAATGGTGTTCGTTTTGTAAACAGGCTGGCGTTTGATGACTGGGACGTTCCCTGTCAACCAGCAGTAACATTTGTCACTAACCTCAACGTGAAGTAAGCACAGAACCAAACTGTGTGTTTAAGTAATCTAGTTAGTTAGCTGTTAGCTCCAGCTAGCTGTAACTCAACCTTTGTGTTAACTAGCTGCCTAGGTCACAGCTGCTAGTGAACAACAAGCTTGCAGACTAGTAAACTCTAGTTAGTTAAAGCGAGATGATTAACAAAGAGTGGTAGTTGTTTGGTAGCCGGGGGGAAGCCTGCAGCTGTCACTGACAGTTACTCTGCTTTTGTCCTTCAACCAGCCGCAACCAGTTTTCCTGTTAAAACCAGCTGCTCTAACGTTACTCTCTGTACAGATCTCGACACCGGCTATTGTCAGTTATTTTTTTAGTTTTGCTCAATTGAAATCAGTCAATTTAATCTGTTACACAGTTTAATTTAACACATATTGCCACATATCCGTGTGACAGCACGGGGCTGCTCAGTGCGCAGCTAGTTCACGTTAGCTTGAGCGGCTAAGCTACCAGTATCAGGCCCTTACAAGGAAGTTACCCATGGAAATAGTTGGTTAAGTGTTTACTTTTGGAAGTCATTAACATGGGCTGTGGCACCGATTAGTCACAACTGCACTGATGTGGAATAATGGGATTCGCTGTGTAGCAGCCACTGAACTCGTAAATGTTACAGCCCTGAAATCTCTCATTACCCTGACTGACTTGCATATTGCATATAATCTGTTATTATACTAGTTTAAGACTTTAAATATATATACTGTGTATTACAAAGTCTATTTATATGCACAGATGTGATACCTGTGGTAGGTCACAGGTTGTGACTCTAGTGTTGATATAAATAATAATAATAATAAAATAGTAATTAGTAATATAATAATAATAATAATAATAATAATAATAATAATAATAATAAATACCCAGTAAGAGAATAGAAAAATATGCAAAAAGTAATCTACAAGGAAGAATCAGAGTATGGACATTAATGGGAATGAAAGTGGATTAACGGTAATTTAAGAGTAGATTAACTGTAATGTGCAAGTAAACTATATAAAAAGTGTAATGTGGGTCAACAGTAAATTTGCAGTTAATAGCAGAGTATGATGGAGATGTTCTTAAATTGTATACGTGGATGTCCACAGGAAGGAAGGACCTGCTGTAGCATTCAGAGGAGCACTTAGTCATCCTGAGTCTCTGTCTGAACATCTGACTAACCAGAACTGTGTTGAGGCTGGGAGACGTCCATGATGGAGAGGAGTTTTGACAATATCTTCCTCTTCACGACTACATGCAGAGGGTGCAGCTCCACCCTCAGGCTGCTGCCCCAGCAGACCACAGCACAGAAAATCACACAAACTAGACAAAAGTCCCTGAGCATCTGTAAAAAGCGTGAATGAAGTACAGATGCAAATGAGGATTATTTTCATCATTGCTTAATCTGGGGATTATTTCCGTCCTTCTTTATTTGATTTATTGTTTAGTCCATAGAGCTGTCAAAATATTCTAAATTTGATTATATATCAAAGTGTAAAAAAAAAAACAAATTTAATTGTGAAAATATGATATTCAATTGTGGCAGAGGGAAATAAAGCAGCTCTACTGTGGCTGTCTGCCTGGTGACTTCTCCCGTGGACCTGAATTCAGTGAATGACGTACAGGAGTCACTTTCACTGATTGAAAATTAAATGTGGGTCAAGCTGAAACAAGCAGATTCAACAACAGCCGGGTGGTGATGATGTCAGAGAGTTCACAACCGACTCAGCTGCAGGGAGAGTGATTCACACTCCCAAGTAAAAAAGCCCAGTTTGGAAATATTTCTATTTTTTGACACCAAAACTGTGGAGCCCTCAGTTAAAGTTGTAGACAAGCTATGTAAGCTACAGTTAGCCTAGCCTACCATTCCAGCACTCGCAGCTAGCCCACATCCAATCACTCGCTGTTTTTATGATCGTTTATATTCTCCATTTCCATCTTCTCAGCTATGAGGATTTGCTGCTGTTCTTTGTCATATGTGATAATGAATTTTATATTTTCTGGCTGTCGGAAATTGTGATGTCATTTTTTAAAACTATTTTCTGGCACTTTAATGGTTGATGAAAATAATAATGATCTGCAGACTCTGTTGAGAATTTGAAATCCTCAGACATCTTACTTCTGTCCTCTGTAGGGATGACCTGACGACAGCAGCACCTGACGTCTTTGACCTGTTCCTGCAACATCCCAGCTCTGTCGGATAGGACGACTCCTGCACATCCTACCATCTGCTAAGGGCTGCTGTCTCCCCCCCACCCTCCCACCCCCACCCTGAGCCTGTCACATCCTCCTCCTTCAAAGACCTCAAACCACCTGCGATTGAACAGTACCAGCCTCTGCCGGCGCGCCCCCCACCCCCCAACAAACAGAGACAATGTATTGCCTGCAGTGGCTGCTCCCCGTGCTGCTCATCCCCAAACCGCTGAACCCGGCGCTGTGGTTCAACCACTCTATGTTCATGGGCTTCTATCTGCTCAGCTTCCTGCTGGAGAGGAAGCCCTGCACCATCTGTGCCTTGGTCTTCCTCGCTGCCCTTTTCCTCATCTGCTACAGTTGTTGGGGCAACTGCTTCCTGTATCACTGCCAGGACGCAGCACTGCCGGACGCCGCCCACGACCCAGCAATCGTCGGGACCTAGGAGAGAGAGACGGGGGAGAGATATCAGAGAGGGGGGAAGGTGTGAAGGGTGATTACTGTAGAATGATACTGCCATGCTGTAAGAGGGGACAGACCGCACTTTGGGTGGGTTGTACCGCCGAGAATACAGAGAGTACTTGGCAAGAGGCGAGGAGAGAAGCCAGTTTGGGGGTGATGGGGGCTGGTTTGTGATGCTGTAGAGAAAAAGACTTAAACCTGAGGTGGTAGGAGGAGAAGAGGGGGAGGTGGCATCAGAGGCAGCGGGCGAGGGGAGGAAGGAAGGAAGGAAGGAGGGGTATTGAAACTTGAAACGCTAAGAGAAGGACACGAGTGAACTTCACACTCTCAACACTCCACTTTCAGCAACTTTCATTCCAGCATCTGAATGAAAACGAGACAGTAAACAAACGCACCACATGTTGACGCCGACCTAAAAGTGACACCGTGTTTGAGTATTCTGGCTTCTTTCCAGCCCACCCACCTGTTTACTTCAACCAGAGAGATTCACCAGGGTTCATCTTCGTTAGAATCAAAATACCCTCAATGTCAAACTGCCAAAATTCACCTGACCCCTGCTGAAACCTGCAGACGGAGCTTGGACTAGTTTCAAGTTTCACCGGCAGCCATGTTGGCTCACCAAGCATTATACACCAGGAAGTGTTAAAAGAGTAACTGGTGTCCCGAGCGTCCCACCTGTCGCAGCCCGACCATACCGAACTCCGTCGCCACTTTTGGCTCCGCACACGTAACGCTACCCTCCACACGGAGAGCACACTAACACTGGACAATCAGTAACTATGCTGTGAATAATTCCTCCTTTGTCGCATCGCCACACACACACACACACACACACACACACACACTCACAAACTCTCACACACTCTCACACACACACCTCAGAAGGTGTGATAATGCTGAGAAACTTACCCACCGTGCTCTGGAGCTGCCCCCTCTCCTCGTCTTCCTCGTTTCCTCTTCCTCCTCTCGCCTCGGAGTGAAAGTCCCCTCCCGCCGGACTCACGATCTTTTTTTTTTTTTCTTTCTTTTTTTGCTGTTTTGTTTGTTTGTTTTTTTTCTTGTGCATGGGTTGCCGTTAGTTTTTTTTTATGCATTAAGTTCACACACAAAGGTTTAGTGAATTTAAACAAAATGCTGAAAGTTTCCAAAGGGTAGAAAAATCTGGATGTGTGTGTGCGTGCGTGCGCGTGTGTGTGTGTGTGTGCGGGGTGGATGAAAGGTTTGTGGTGTGTGCGATAGGTGTGTATTTTCTGTGATCAAAGTCGTGGTGATACGCAAGGAAACGGCTGATGGTCAGTATTTCCAGCAACACTAAGCAATACAGAACGCTGGGCGAGGAAGTGGCCTCAAGTTTTCATTGACAAGAAGGGCAGAAGATTCCTTGTGCATCACTGCTGTAAGTGTTATGTTTAGCTGTGAGACGCAGGCTAAGGTGTTTATACTGTGTACTAAATGGCGTGTGTGAAGGTGTGTGTGTGTCCGAGTGTGTGTGTGTGTGCGTGCGCGTGTGTGTAGCCTTCTGTCGCAGTGCTGAACATGCTCACTGCTACACGATTGCTTTGGTTTTAATTTAAATAAAGTTTTTCCTCTCAACGTGTTACACTGAGTCGAATTCAGTATCATATCAGTCAGTGTTTGTTTTAATGGTGTTAAACGTTTAAAATTTGATTTTTAATTATTTTTTATTATGGTCTCAAAATGGCATCCCTCTCTGTGCTAAATTCAAAGTCTACAAAGTATTCTGTGTTCACATCTCAGTTCTTGTTTAATTCAGTCGTGGAGGAATTATTCAGACCCTTAGATTAAGTATAAATGAGGTAAACATGGCGCCATTACAGCAGTATCGGTATGAGTGCAGGGGGAGAGCAGGTTAAAATCACAGTGGATGAAACAAACAATTGAAAACAGTAAACTAGTGCTGGATGTGTGTTTCAGATGATGATGCAACAGAAGAGCAAGATGAGCAAACAAGCTGCTCGTCTTTCCCCACAGACGTCGTTCAACTCCTGCTAATTAATATTTTCATCCTCCTGCAGCAGCTGAGAGTCTCCTGTGTTTATAAAAGAGCGAATGATTCATTACAAATACAGCTCTGGATTTCACCATCATTTCTTAGAATCTTTTTACAGAGATGAAGTTTGTGCATCAGTGATCTTCCTCGTCTGTGGTTCAGTTGTGACTTTTTAAATGACATAATGAGTATATTTTACTTTTGGTACTTAAAGTATATGTAATACTCTTGTACTTCTGCTCAGCGTTTTAAGTATTTCTACACTTGTACTTAGTCACTTTCTACTTTAAATGGATAAAATTACCATTTCCCTCATCAATCTACACTCAATAACTCATAATGACAAAGTGAAAACATGGTTTTTGACACTTTGCAAATGTATTAAAAAAACACAAACTGAGAAAAGCTTTCAGACCTTTTGCCGTAGCTTCCAAACTGTGCTCAGGTGTGTCCTGTTTGCTTTGATTATCCTTGAAGCAAACAGCCAAGAAAACACAGGAGTGACTTTGGGACAGTTCTCAGTCTGTCAGCCAAAGCCCAGATTTAAACCCCACAGAACCGGTGTGCAGAGAGTTGGAGACGGCAGCTCACAGACGCTTCCCATCCAGACAGAGCTGAGAGGATCTGCCTGGAAGAACGAGATAAACTCCAAATCCAGGTGAGCAAGGCTTCTAGAGACTCACCTGCAGACTGGAGGGTGTAACTGCTGCTAGAGGGGTTTCTACAAAGTACTTCAAAGATCTAAATGCCTTTATAAAGGACAGATTTCAGTTTTATTGATTTTATTTCATTTCATTTGTCACTCATGATATCTGACTGATATTTTAATGGCCGACACATCCGTTGATACTTACAGTCAGTGCCCCTTGTGTTGTCTATGTAAAAGCCTGATTCTAGGATTCTCAAAAGTGTGTACATCCCCATCAGCAGGTAGCAATGTTAGCATGCTAACATGCTAAACTAGGATGGTAAATATCATGCCTGCTAAAAAAAAATCAGCATGCTAGCATGTAGCTCAAAGTGCATAAGTGTTCAGCCTCTGGCTTTAGTCTCTTAAGTCTTGTTGTAATTCTTTCATCCTCACTTCCTCTAACCTCCTCTTGTCTTTCTGTTTTTTCCTTTTCTCCCATGTGTTCCCTCAGCTCTGCTTTTTCATCCTTGTCTTTTTTCTTCTAAGCAACTGTGAAATCAATGCAGTGAGAACATTATGATTTTAGACAGCAGCTAGAAACCCAACAAACACAACAAGTGCAGCCTTAGTGTCACTCAACATTGTTGATATTGCTGAATAAAACACGTATTGGCTTTCAGTCAGGAGATTTAACCAGGTCAAATCTATTCCAGAAGAAAAATAAAAAATAATAATTAAAAAAAGTGCAGAAACTGAACTATCTGGTCCTGCAGGAGGGGCTGAAACAAGCCATGCAGATCCAGCAGATAAAGATTCAGCCCTGTTGTAGTTTAATGGATATTCTAAAGGTTTGATTGCAGAGACACAGTTTCTTCCCATCCTGTTCTATATTAAAACATCCCGTGTGAGACTTTGATGATGTGTCTAAATTGACTGTCGATTTGTTTCCAACATGAGAGCTCTGGTATGCCGAGCATTTTGACCCCTGCTTTTATTTCTACATCGTCCATGATGAGATTTGAGCATTCAGAGTTTTTTCGTGGAACATTTCTTACACACTGGAGCCAGACAGAGTTGATCTGTGTTGAGTTATCATGGGTGCACTGAGCCTGAATAAGAACCACATTTTCCTCCCAGCAGATAAAACACAGACCGACGTCTTCTTCCCACGCCATTTTATTGACCCATGGCTGCAGGAACCGGCGAGAGCATAATGCTCGCATAGCGTTGACATGACCAGTTCTACTCTTCCTCGCCCAAAATGAAGGTTGGTGAAGCGTGCATTGGTGAGAAGAAATGTAACAACAAAGTCATTGGCGAGGAAATGTTTTTCGTTTGGTTGTAATTTCCCGCCGGAGTATCAGCGTTAGCACCGCCACCACTTAGCATGCTGCTAACGGGTGTCAAGCTAGGACTGTCTTGGCGGCATTTGAGGAGCCTCCAGCCGACCGATGACAATTTTCAAGACGTTTTGAGAAAGAAACTTTCAGCCGACTTGGTTTGTTAAATGAAAGTGGCTTCATTACGCGGCGGAGTGTGGTCAGGTTGTGTCTTTTGCTTGCATGATTCACCGATTAAATCAGCGATTGATTAGGTGCCCCTTCACCTTCCCGAGGAGCTGGACCTCAGGCCGGGGCGATGTCACCAGAGAGTCTCGTTGTCACAGGTCAAGATGAAGCAACATGTCTACCTGAGCTCCATCCACAACCAAGAGCTCTGTTTCCAGAAGCTGAAAAACTCATAGTCACGCCTGTGGACGAGCATCGCGTGAAAACATGGCTACACCACGACCCGGAAGAGACAGACTCACCTCTCCTTGATGCATGTCCACACTGACATTGGACACCCACGCCCTTATGAGACTTCATTTCCACAACACCTGAGCCCAAGGCCACATTTGGCTTGTTATAACTACTAGAGTACCTGGGCCGCAGCTCGAGTTAAGATATTTGGTTCATTATAAGCTGCCGCCGAGCCCTTTATAATTAGTATTTGAGTGGAATAAACCTTTAAAACTACAAATATGTGGATAAAAAGTAGTATTTGGGTGAAATGCACCTTTTTTAAAACTACAAATATGTGGATAAAAAGTAGTATTTGGATCGGAAATAAAACCTTTATAGCAGTTAAGTACGGTCCTGAAACTGCAGCCTCCGGTACTGCAGAAACATACTATTGCCCACTACAGCAGCCCCAACTTAAAACATCTTCCCGCGGCCCTGTATTGACCTCAGACAGTCTGTAAATATCCCAGTCAGAGAGGTCCCAGGTCAGTCTAACCACAGCCAAATCTGCTCTGCGGCAAGCGAAGGCATCCTCAGGTCAGGGCTGTTCCCAAACGTCAGATCACCTGAGCAGACAGCAGAGGGCAGCACCTGCTTCTGTGTCAGGGACGAGACGAAGCTCAGGCCACGGAGAGAGAGGTGGGATAAAATAAGATGATAAGATAAACTGTAAGAAATCAAACAGCAACATATTGAAATCTACTAATATTTAATCATTTTCAGACCAACTTCAGTGAACTTAAATCTGTTGGTTTTACGTTACAATAATTAATGAGAAAACAATAAACTTATTGTTTATGTTAAGTTCAGAAAACTCACATTTTTAATTTTGATTTAATTCATGAATTATCATGAAATTATGTTGCTCATCATTAAGAAACAATAAAATCACTGAGTTTATATGATTCATTAACACAATTTCACAATGATAATTCATGCATTCATAATAACAAATGGTCTTAATTTATGTCACATTAAAAAGAACTAATTATTATTATTATTACTGTGAGTTACCTGGTTGTGCCGCCTCAAGTAAAGTCATGTCTTAATCTCAGTTACTGTTGTGCTTTCTACAGATCTAGTCCTTGTCTATGTAACTGGGTTCAGCAGCTCTGGTGGCACAGAGGTGAATGTATGAGCAGAATATAAACATTTAATAAATGCTTTATAACCCATGATACTGCGGTGTTTGATAATGTACTAGGCTGGGGTGACATCCAAACTTTCGATCCAAATATTGTGATATGAGATATTATCGCAGGGCGGTGGGTTTTATTATTGTATTTTATGTTTCAGATATAAGTGATGCTGCTACTAAACAGCAGTTCAAAGTTTTATTTGTCACATGCCGAGGTTCAATGTACAACAAGCAAAGCATATACTTTTCATCATATGGATTTCTCTCTTTAGATTTCAGGGAGATGGAGGCTGCTGTATGAAGAGATGAGGAATGAACATGTACTAAAACGCTGTTGTAACAACAAACTGTGTCTTCATAGGAGAAGCTGACAAATAGTGTGTTGTCAACTATTCATTAAATGTTTATATAGAGCTGTTGTATGACGTAACTGATCCACTAAGAATCACATAAACTCAGTGACTTGATCATTTCCTAATGGTGGGAAACAGGAAGTTGTGACACATCCTTCATTCGTTTCTTTCATTAACATTCATGTGTTTTGAAACTTTATTATTAAGTGTTACCAGAGATTCTTTATCAATCAGTAATAAGACGTCAGGGCCGACCACTTATCTGTGTTTCCTCCTTCAAGCTAAATAAAAGCAAATCAATGCATAAGTGTATCTCAAATGACAACTCATGAAATCCAGATGTTCATCAGCCTCCAGCAGCTGCAAACCAGGAAACCCAGAGAAGAAGAGTAAAACCTCTTAAAGCTGTTTGGCTTCCTGCCGCAGTTGTTTTGTTCTATAATCCTCCGGCATCCTCGAACGTCTCTGCTCCTGTTTGTGTTTGTGGAAACGTTTCAGCCGCCATTTTGTTTCCGCAAAGCCTGAAAATATAGAAATTAAATACGACTCGGAGAAAGAAGTAACCTGCCACAGGTAGATTTACACCGTCTGCAGCTGCTGATGAGGATTTATTTGGTCCCTCAGGGTTTAATGTTCACATGAGATTTTCCATTTTTCTCTTAATTACATACTCGTGTGACATTATGTGAAATTACAATAATATATTTATCCTTCATTTTCCCAATAAAACAACCTCATAGACTGGTTGTTGAAAGCGAGTCCCGACGCTGGAAAAGCAGGAATAATTTTAAAGCTGCACATGGTAATTTATCTGGTTAAATAAACTAACTGCTGCGACAGAGAACAGAACAAAATAAATCCATGTTTCCCCGTAAAGTCTCTTCTCTGGTCACAGGATCAAGAACATTGAGGCTTTGTAGGAAAACTCTAACGTCAGTGATTGAACGATCCGTCCAGAGGAAGCTTGAAGTCGCCGTCATCAGATCGTCCTCCGCTCTCGTCCCTTTAGTATCCGTAGTTATGAAGGCACCAGAGATTCATTGTTATCCTCGTCCTGTCATTCCCCTTCAGTGCAAGCTCATAAACTTCATCATCCAGCTCATCATTCAGTCTCTCGCCCCGACACCCGGGTTCATCGAGACTCTTGATGTTTCAGTTCCACACATGTCTCCTATAGAATGGTAATCTCAGTCTCTTGGTTCTGATAAGCCTCCTCCTGCATCTCGGTGTACAGCTGGTCCATCCTCTGGAAGGCCAGGAAGCCCTTCTTACCTGCAGACGGACGAGAGGAAAGTTTAATAAAAAAACAAACTAGAGTCACCTCCTCGTGGTCGTATCCCTCCGCCACTCAGACTAGTTCCAGATTACATCCTTGTTTATCCAGAGTCAGAGAAAATATGAACCATCTGAGTGACATTTTTTAATAATTACTGTGCGAAGTCTGATTAAAGGCTAAAAAGTGTACTGTGAGGTCACAGTGACCTTTGACCTTTTGATCACCAAAATCAAATCACTTTGTCCTTGAGTCAAAGTGAACGTTTGCACCAAATTTGAAGTAATTCCCTCAAGGCGTTGCATTCACAAGTCCAAAACTGGGTTTTGTGATGTCACAGTGAGTTTGACCTTTGACCTTTAGCCACTAAAATCTAATCAGGTCGTACTTGAGTCCAGGTGAACATTTTTACCAAATCTGAAGAAATTCCCTCAAGACATTACAGATATATTACATTCACAAAGCCAAAACTACATTATACGAGGTCATCATGACCTTTGACCTTTAGCCATTGAGGTCTAATCAGTTCTTCCTTGAGTCCAAGTGAATGTTTTGCCAAATTTGAAGGGATTCTCTTGAGAAGTTCTTGAGATATTGCATTCACAAGGCCAAATTCATGTTTTGTGAGGTCACCGTGACCTTGACCTTTGACCTTTGACCTTAGGCCATCAGAATCTAGAAGGTAAAACAATATATCTATATATATATATAAACTGAAGGAAGAGTCGTTCGGTTTGTACCAAAGGAGAGGACGGTCTCTCTGGCAGCGCTGCGAAGATCTTCATCCGCTGATCTCCACAGATCTGCTATGTGGTCCACACTCTCTGTCGCCTGGCACACACACACACACACACACACACACACACACACACACACACACACACACACACACCAGACAATTGATAACCAGCCCGTGATATAGACCAGACTTGTGTGTGTGTTGACAGGTTTCTGTGTGTGTGTGTGTGTGTGTGTGTGTGTGTGTGTGTGTGTGTGTCGCTCACCCGGAGGCACTTCAGAGCCAGACAGGAGCCATGTTGGATTTGAAGGTCGGAGCTCTTCAGACTCTCTGTGTAGTGAATCAGCGCCTGAGGCAGAAGTAAGAGAAGCTGCATCAGTACAATTCATTCGAGGCAGAAGGGAGACGGAGAGAGGGAAGCTGCTAAAACACAAGACTACTCTTCTTCTACTTTACTTTATATCAGGAGGCCGCAGAGTGTTTTCTTTCTCCTGATCACTTTCTACACCGTACTCCACTGTACTTTGTCAGATCTCCAAACAAACACAAATCTTTCTGTTGGTAAATGTACGTTTTCTGTGATCGGTTTAATGCTAACGAAGCTAACTAGCTACGTGTCCCTCGTTCAGTCACTCCACTCCTTTACCAAAGCCCTGAAAGGCAAGTGTTTTCATTTTCATGTGTGGAAACAACCCCCAAGAGATGAGAGGAAAAAAAAAGATTTGGGAGGGGGTAATAATTTTTCTGATTCTTTTTTCCTTTCCTCCCAGAATAATAAAAACTTCACTTGCCTCCCTGGTTTTGTTTATACAGATGAAAAAAACAGAAACTTTTCTCATCACAGCAGTTAAAGCTCAGGTGTTACTTATTACATTAACGATGGTTCTGTTCTGTTGAAGTGTCTCAGTGAACCGTGTGATGATTTCATTATTTACACCTGTTGTTGTTTTCCTGCCGTTTTCTGTGAGGAAGGAGGAATTTCTCAGGTCACTCAATTTCACACTCAGATTTCAGACACTCAGAATAAAAGTAAATGCAGTGCACCATATGTCGGACACAGTCTAAGTATCTATCAAATTACTCTTGTATATTTTACTTTTGTGAATCGAATTTTCTTGTTACTTCTCTAATTCATTTTGTCTGTTGTCTGTATCTGATATTTTTCAGATTTTACATTGTAGCGTGACGACAGCTGTGAACACGCTGCCCGGGACGGGTGGACGCACCTTGCTCCTGAAGGCCTTGCAGCCTGCGGCTCTGCACAGACAGTTGGCGGCGGCTTTGCAGACTTTGTGGTTGGAGTCGACCTGCAGGGCGGCCAGGGTCTGCAGCGTGCACCCCAGTGGGAGGAGCTCCACGATGCTCCGCCCTCTCAGTTTGTTGAGCGCTCGCCTCCGTTTGGGGCTCCTGAGGGCCGACAGGATGTACTCTGAAACACACCAGGAGCCACGGTGAAGGAACAACACAGGTAATTTGTGTTCATGGTCCATTTAGTAGCTGCTGTTCTGGAGCTCTCAATCACATCACATGATCTTTATCAGCAAATTAAGTCATAGAGGTGTAAATGTTTTTTTCCCTCTCAGCTTCAGGACTTTTCATGAACTTTGGAAACAGATTTAAGAGTTGGAATTTAAGGAATATCCAGTTTATACTCACTCAAACATATTTGACAGTTTTTAGTTTTTATTTAACATAAGATGAAAATCTGCTGAGGCAAATGCAGTAAGATATGTATAGAAATATAGAAATATTAAACTTTTTACACTGTTTTCTGTGGAAGCCCTCCCATACACAAACATCATATACGTATATACATATAGTGAATTTCCATAAATGAAATATATGTACGTATAAAATGAAAACATATGTAAAAATTATATATTCAGTTTCATTTCATCATGACAATGTGACATATGTTTGTATATGTCTGATTTATATATGTTTATATTGTTGACATATGTCATAATAATATTTGAATATATGTACACATACAAGTATATATATACTATGGGTCTTTCATATATGTTATGAGTCTTCATATATGCAGATGTAAATATGTGATAATAATATATCCCTTTATAGGTGACATCACTCTTGAAATAGAGACATACAGTATATGTCATATATTATATTTTATTTATTTATTTATTTTTAAATTTAAGTGAATTTTTTTAAGTGTTTGTTTTTGTAATACTCATGTCGGCCACCAGAGGCTGAAGTGCACCACTACCACAGTTTAAATCAGACTGAAAACATGTTTTTCTCCAGATTAATTTAAGTTTCTCCAACACAAAGTTCATATAATGTCATTTATGTAACGTCACTGTCACGCCTTTCTTTTGGCTAGAAATGTATTTTAATAGGTAATAATAAATCTTTCTGTCAGAGGCTATTGGACGTCAGGTGAGAGAGTACAAAGACCTACAAAGGTCAAAGGTCACAGTGGACGCATGGGATAAACATAGGAGACTGTTTTTCTTTTTTTTACCTGCCTCTCAGGGTTTCTGCAGTTCGTTTTATTTTCATGCACATTTTAATCCACACTTCAGTAACCAGGAAGTGCTCCTGCCAGCAACAGCTGTGTGATGTTTTCATGTAATAAGACTTTCACACCCTTAACTTTCACATCTCAGAAAAGTAAATTAAATCTTATCTAACGTTCCTGGCACGCTTCGTCTCAGTTGGGCTGTAAACTCCACCCGCCTGGTGTTCAGAGTGAGTTAAAACAAATGCCAAGATTTATTTCAGACTTGATTTGTCCCTGATTGAATTAAGAGCAGAGACACAGTGTTGTTGTTTTAGCCGTGCCATGCAAACCAAATGAAGTTTATCAGTGTAATACACAGCAGACATAAGGAAGGAAGGAAGGAAGGAAGGAAGGAAGGAGGAAGGAAGGAAGGAATGAAGGAAGAAAAGAAGAAGAAGGAAGGAGGGAAGGAAAGATGAAAAGAAGGAGGATGCAAGGAAGGAGGCAAGGATGAAAAGAAGGAGGAAAGAAGGAAGGAAGGAAGGATGAAAAGAAGGAAGGAAGGAAGTTAAGATGAATCATGTGGCTGTTGAATCTTAAAAGATCCTTTAAGGAGAACTGTGGCCCCTGCACACACACACACACACACACACACACACACACACACACACACACACACACACACACACACACACACACACACACACACACTCAGTTTGGCTGTCACGTTGACAGATGGTCCAGATTCCTTTCATATGCAGGAATCTCTGGAACGTTCTCGGATCCTAAAGCTCTGTAGGAGAGGACATACCATTCCTCACACACACACACATGTGCACATATCTATATACACACACATGCACATATCTATATACACACACACACGCTGTGGACACCTGTCATATGTGATGGTAGAAAAAAATAATATGGATTTAGTTTGCAAAAATATGGTTGGTGCTCCGCGCTGGTCTGTTGTCATTAAAATAAAAAGAGGATAGAAACGAAGCTCTTCTTCTGCTGCTCAGTACAATAAACCTCAAGCTACGTGACATGGTTAGTCTCATATTAGACATACGCATACAGAAATATAATATATGACATGTCACTATATCAAGGGATTTTTATATTTATATGTTTAGAGCATACATGAAATAGTAACAATTATAAATGTAGGTTCATATATTAAAAATGTCTAAATGATATATTTTTATATGTTATAAGATGTTGCAACCATATATGTTAATGATATTTATTTAAATTTAATGCAAGTTTATTAAAACAACATAACATAAACAACATGTATGTTTTTTAAATTAATTTTAAACACGTCTATCTTCACATGTTTATAATATCAACATATAGTGACAGGCTTTAGGATGAATATATATTTATGTTACAAGTCTACAATGAAAGCATACAAACATAAATAATTTGTATAGGCTACACATATATTTCTAATAGGTTTCATATATAGTTTTTACATATGTGCTTTTATTTTATATGTGCATATAAGTCCTATATAGAAATTCAATATATGTACATACGTTACATTTGCATATGGGTATATTTTCTTATCATTTGGATGTTCTCTTAGTTCAAGCATTTTAAAGCGACGTCTATATTTTAATACCTTCTTTAGAGAGGCGGGAGATGTGCTCTCCCAGCTCCTGGACGCTCCAGCGTTTCAGATACACCGACAGCTGGAACAGGGTGACTCTGTCTGGGCTGCAGAGCGGCCGAGGGCTGGGCACCATGCGACAGGCCGTCTGGACCTGCTGCAGGAGCTGGGAAAACACTGCAGGGGAGGGAGAGAGAGAGAGAGAGAGAGAGAGAGGTTTTCATCTGCTCGTGGTCGAGTTATTACCCCCCCCCCCCAAAAAAAAACAAAACAGGTGGAATGAAGTGCTTATCTACCTTTCTCTGATTGGCCGGGCTGCTTGGCCTTCACCTTGTGCGTGTAACGTTTCTTCAGTGTCCTGGAGAAGCTGCTGGCCGGGCAATAGAAAGGAGAGCTGCTGTCGTTCACACAATCATCCCAGAACAACAAGACATCCCTCGTTCTCTGGGCCTTAGGGAGGACTGGAGGATGAGGAGAGGAGAGGAGGAGGAGGATATATATATTTACCTTTCTTTACCCAGGAACATCACCTGAACATTAACAAAGACCCAGGTTCAAACCTGCTGTAAATTATTCGTTGCTAATCATATATTAATTATAAACATGTCATTCTCTTAAAGACATATAAACAGATTTGTTTTTACTGACTGTCACGAGCGCAGATGTTGTTGTTCTTCTCCAGCAGCAGACAGCTGACTCTGTCCAGGACTTCAGCCTGAAGAGCCACCTCCTCCAGCAGCTCCCTCCGAGACGGGCAGAAGTCAGTCGTTCTAATCATCTGAGGAGACGTTATGATCATTGGTTAGATTTGCTCAGCAAGAGCAAAGATGAACCAGATTTCCCGCCTCATGGTCGTTTGCCTCGACTAACCAGCCGAGTTGCAGGAAACATGGTGACAGTCTCTCCTTCCTGAGTTACAGCATTGAATAACGACCAGAATTTTTTGTGCAGAACGTTATGATGTCACAGTGAAGTTGACCTTTGACCTTTTGGATATAAAATGTCCTCACTTCATCATTTTATCCTGTTAGACATTGTGTTGAAATGTGTCATCATTAATGTAAACATAAACCTGTTCTGTATTTCCCTCAAGGCTTTCATGAGATATCAGGCCAAAAACATTTTGTGAGGTCACAGCGACCTTGACCTTTGACCTTTGACCACCAAAATCTACACAGTTCATCCATGACTCCTAATGAATGTTCGTACAAAATTTGAAGAAATTCCTTCAAGGCGTTACTGTGATATCGTGTCCATGAGGATGTGACGGACATGGCTCCTGTACCTGTAGCAGGAGGAGGCAGATATCCAGGTGAGTCTCTAGAGCTTGGTCAAAACCCCAATTCCCAGAAGTCAGAGGGATGAAGACCAACTCTTCCTCAGAAGCTGATTGGCTGTTCAGTGTGCTCTGCTGGAAAGAGCTGATGCTGATGGAGAGAGAGATGAAGAGCAGAGATGAGTTGTTTTACCACAGGTCACTGCTGATTATTTTTCTTTTATCCACCTGGAAACTCACCCACTGTCCTTTAGTCTCAGGCTGCCCAAACAGGAAGTGTCGTCATCCGCGTTGAAGTCATGTGACAGGAAGTCAAAGCTGCCCAGGACTTCCTCGACAGCGAGCGTCTCCTCCGATGATGAGCTCTTCATTAGGGAGAGGTCGTTCTGAGGAGGAACACATTCACACATTCATGAAGAGGAAAGATAAAAATCACCTCCAGTATCTTTACCTGCAGGCGTTGGTTTACCTTCAGGATGGTGGCCAGGTGCAGTATCTGGTGGTCCAGGGCTCTCAGCTCCTTCTCAGACAGACTCTGGTTCTGTAACGTCTTCTCCAGCTCTGCGATCAGGGCCCCCAGCCTGAGCGCCTGGGCCCTGCGCTGGGCGCCACTCATCCCCGACCTCCCCGGGGCCGGAGCGGCCCTCGTGGTGGTTGACGATGGGGCCGCAGGTGGAGGCTGGGTAGCGAGCGTAGGTGAAGCCGAGTACGACTGACAGTCTGGGGAGTCCTGGTAGAAACAAAGGAAGGAGTGAGTTTGAAAAGAGAAGAAGAAACAAGAGGAGACAAGTGTCAGCCTGATGAAACCTGAAGAGAGACGCTGTGAAAACAGGAGGAGATTTAAGGAGGTGAAGAAAAGTAAACTGAAAGAGAAAGGACGAGATGAAGAAGAGATGAGGGAGTTGACAACAATAAGAAAATAGTGGCTCTGGTTGTTGGATCAGATTCTGATTCAATTACTGGTTTCTGTTTTTATTTTCATCTACATATTTTATCATCTTCTGTCTTCCTATTGTCTATTCTCATTGTCCTACTCTAACCCTATTAGCCATTATTTTATTGTACTATTACATTTTTTATTGTAAAACACTTTACCTGCATCAGAATTTCAGCGCAGTGTATGTATGATATGAGTGGAAGTCTTTTTTGTTTTGTTTTTTCTACCTGCACACTGACAGAGTCCTGTCCTGGGGCTGCACTGTGTGTCTCAACATCTGGTTCTCCAGCTGTGTTCTTCCTGAGGATGTCAGGAGTACTGGACCTGGAACAAATACATCATGATTATTCAAAAAAGAAGAAGAAGAAGAAGAAGAAGAAGTCAAAGTATGTCGGGATCCTGAAGGCAGAGGAGATGAGGTAAAACCTAAACTCTGAAACTTAATTACAAACACTGTCATTTTGTCTTTGACTTCATTTGTTACATTTATTAATTTATTCATTTGTTACATACATTTGTTATTTGTTCAGTTTTAAAATGCAAAACAAGTGGTTCGTGAGTTCATCCTCACCTCTGCAGGGCCAGCAGGGATCCCGTCTTACTCTCCCCTGGTGTAGAGGGAGTCTCTAACACTGCTCCCCACCTTTCCTCCTCCTCTTCCTCCTCCTCCTTCTCATCCATGCTCTTCCTCCTCTCCCTCTCCTCTGTGGAGACCTCCAGGGATCCTTCCTCCCCAAGAGACAGCCGAGTCTGGCTCCCTCCCAGACTGGTGCCCTGACTGGGGCAGGAGGGGTAGCTGTGAGCCCGCGTCAGACTGAGGAGGAATGGATTTTCGTTTTAAGTGTAATCAACACATAAATCCACACTGAGAACTTTCACTTTACGACTCAGCGCTGAAAATGGTCCTTAAAAGCAGTGGTTCCCAACCTGAAGATCAGGCGTTTACTTTGGTACAACTTTTCTATAATTTATCTTGTAAAACAACTTTTTCCTCTTCAAAACTCTAAAAATCTTTCAAATCAAAAAAACAGTGAAAACAAAATCTCTTTGATTGAACTGAAACAAGCCAGGAAAGGATGGGAAGTTACCGCCTCCTTTCACTTGAGCCACACAAAAAACAAAAGTGATATCCCACTATGTTTACCACCCTGTACGACATACCTCGGGGTGTAGGGGCTTTTGGGGATGTGGTTGGACATGACGGAGGTGTGTGAGGGGTCGGACAGGTAACTGAGCAGAGACACGCCTCCTCTGTTGTGACGACCTTTAGACACCAGAGACGGGAGGGAACCTTCTCGATCCCGCAGCTCACGCACCATCGACTGCAGAGGAAGCAACACGTCAATGTTAACATCAAACTCTAAAGTCACTGTTAGCTAGTTTCTAACTTTAACCTTAAGTTACAGTTAAGCTAACTAGTTTCTAACTTTAGCTTTACATTACAGTTTAGCTAACCAATGTCAGCTAGCTAATAGTGCCTGTCCAATGTTAGCTTGTCATGTCATTACCAATATTAAATGTCATATATGATCTAATGTTAGCAAACACTGGTGCTCGGTCATGAGCCGTGAGACAATGGAGGGTGTTTGTTGTGGAGAAACGTTTTTACATCAATATAGAGTTTATTATTTCATTTCATGTGCTGGTTTAGTCTTTTAGCTTTAACATTAGTTTTTATAACAGACACCCTTTTTGTTTTCACTTAGGAATTCAGGAGTTTTACCTATTCAGGTAATTGAACAATATTATAATACATGTGCTCAACACCTCAGTTCACTGACGCACGTGACTGCACTGCACTGACTTCCCTTTGACCCTGGAGAGATAGTTGACCCCCCCCGGTTGTCACTGTATAATTCGTATGTATGTTTGTTAGTGACCTGTAATGACCTCACTCCTCTGTTCAGTTCTCTCTCTCTCTCTCTCTGTGTGTGTGTGTGTGTGTGTGTGTGTGTGTACTCACTATGAAATACTTCTCGGTGAAGGAGGGGGTGCTCGGTGCGGTCCAGCTGTAAACTGAGCTCTTCCTGCTGGCCACCGACTGCCTGCTGACGGACAGAGGCCTCATCTTCTCAGCGCTGTCAAACGGACTGCAGGTGCACAAACACACAGAGGTTCAGATAAATGCACATCACACACAAACACACTAAACATCACACTCTCCATACGTGTCAAACATCTGACAATAAACCTGCAGATATTACTGATGGTGAATATTTTAGTTTATCAGTTTGTCTCATGAGTGAGTTTCCAGACTTTTCCCAGAGGTTTGACTCTTTTTCCTTCACCTTTCTTTACTTTGTGAGATCCAGAGCGTACGGCGTGTGCATACTGATATTCATGCAACTTTATAGTCACAGTCCTGACACTTCAGAGACTTTGTGCTTTCATGTTTCTCTGCTGAGTAACTCCCACTGGACGTATCTGCTTCGTCCTTTTATTTACACAGAATCATTATCAGTGAGTAAATTGTTTATATCCTACAGTACAGAGGCTGTCAGGGGACTCACACTCTTTATCAACAGCTTTCTGCCTGATATTCATCACTTGTGTCCACATTTTCTCCTCCCATCAGTCTGAACTTTGATCCAACATGTTTCCATCTTCTCCCGCTGCCCAGAGACATATTTTCACTTTTTCTTGACTCCTATTTCACGTTATATGTTGCAGCAAAACAGTGTAAATCACTGAAAGGGGCTCCACAGAAATGTGTGTGTTGTGTGAGTGTGTACGGCCTCAGCGGGTTTTTGTTTTGTAGGTGTGAGAGTGTGACTTTAATTTTCCGTCTCTCCGGGGAGAATCCATGAAACGTCCTCCACCTGGCTGCTCTAAAGCCTGAAATGTGATCTGTCATGGTGCAAAGGGCACAGCAATGTGTGTGTGTCTGTGTATATATATATATATATGTGTGTGTGTGTGTGTGTGTGTGTGTGTGTGATGTACGCTCTGTATTCAATCAGCTGCTCTGCGGCAGCTGGCTCAGGTTAGAGGTTCAAAGCAGACAGAGGCAGAGACTGAAGAAGAGAACAGCCTCTGACTGTGAATCTAAAATGATGCAACACATCACTTGTTGTTGTTTGGTCTGTGTTGTGTTTCTGCTGAGAACATGTGTTAAAGTCACAGTCTGACATTTCAGAAAACAATGAAGTAACAGAAAGAGATTGAGCGGGGAAAAGAAAAAACAGGAGAGGGTTTTGTTTTCCAGCAGAGTCGCTCTGTGATCTGATGGCTGCGTGAACCAGCTGCACCTGTCAGTCATGTGACTCAACTTTTAATACGATATGTGCAGGACAGAGCGAGGGGCCACACATCTGAGGTCAGGACAAAGATTCATAGAAGTCGTTCTCATGTTTTACATTTCCTCACTCAGCTGTCCACGCCTCAGTTACTGTCCTGACCTCCACATCACTTCCTGTCCTCAGAGCAGGACGTGCGTCTGTGCTACACGTCATGAATGTGTTTGTGTTCGTGTGCGACGTGTTCGTACTTCCAGGTGACCTCCAGCTGCAGTTTGATGGTCCCCAGCTCCGTGATGTCCACCAGCATCAGCTGAGGCCTCGCCACGAAGAAGTCTGCGCTCGCACACGTTACCATGCCAACCAGCAGCCAACCCAAACCCTTCGCCTCCGTCACCTGAGAGATGGCATTTGATAGGTGAGACACCCAAACACACACACACAAACACACAACATTATTATTATTATTATTATATAATTCATTTCTGTTTATTGACTTGTATAGATAGAAAGATAGATGGATGTCTTTATTAAATTAAAATGTCACAGCAACTGAGTTAAAATACAATAAAATACAGTAAAATACAAAGAGACAAAAGACAAAAATAAACAGTATTTAAGTACATAGATAAATATAAATAAATAAGTTCATATGGACCAAAGTGTGTGTGTGTGTGTGTGTTAACCTTGATCTCGAAGTTGTGGTGTATGTGAGGGAGGAAGACCATCTCCTCCTCGTCCCACGACTGCGTGTCGTCGGATTCGATCCTCCCTCTGATCCTCCACCGCTGGCGGCCCAGTCGCACCACCACCTGGTCACATGACATCATCAAGACATGACATCACCACCAACCACTGGCCATAACTCGACCAACAGGTGAGTTCTTCAGTCAGTTCAGGGTCAGAGTTTAAAGAGATCAACCTCCGACCAACGAGGTAAAAATACTGCGTGTTATTTGTTGTCAGAAGGAAACAGCTGAACGAAGAACAGTTGTGTGTTTACAGTCAAAATCTGTTTTCTCGATCACTGCTCCAGTTCATCAGGACAATCAAACACCTCGGTGGTGACAAATTTACATCAGTTTTTTTCGCAGTTCTCAATGGGAAACGCTGACAGCGAGGTCAGTGGGTTAGTCACCGTCATCAGGACATTGTTTTTAAAATGCTGTGGCAACATATGTGGATTTCTCTTTGTGTTGTGGTGGCAGCAGAAGTCTCAGGAGGGAATACCTCCAAACTTCAGCAGATAAAGCTGAAAATATCTGAACAGTTATATTCACTACAGGGCGAACTGACCCTTTAGTGTCCAAACAACAAATCTGGTTGAATATCCTCTGTGTGATTTTCTTTTAAACACAGTGTTTTGTATAAAATCAGTGCATCCTTGAAGTTAAAGAAGCTGTTTGTAAGTTTTTGCTACATAGCTAACATTAGCATTAACAGCTGTTAACTTACCAGTCTAGAAGAAACTGTTTGAATTCAGCATCAAACTTCATTCCTTTACTCACCAACAGCTTTCTCCAGTTAACTACTGAAGTTAGCATGCTAACGAGCTAGCCCTGGCCCGGTTGGACCGTCTTATCCCTTTCCAATACCGAGTCACTGAAGCGTCCAGGCAGCCCTGAAGATGTAGCTGCTCTGAGGACGTATTATAACCTCTTGTCATGAAGATGAAGCTATTGGTAAGACTGGTAAGTAATGCTAACGTTAGCTATGTAGCAATAGCAAAACTTTCAAATATCTCCTTTAAACAAATGTGCTGGTTTCATTTCTTTTGCAAAGCAATTTTTTTAAAAATATCTCAACTTTCATTGTTTGCATCCATGTTTAGTTTTCTTCTTCTCTGCCTGTTAGTGGCACATGTGAAATAACACAGTGCTGCTGATGGTCAAATACTCAGCTACAGTTTGTTCAGGTGATGTTGGTGTCAGGATTCACACATTCAGTTCAACCACCGGCTCTGTTTTTAGTCACATTTACACAAAGTTAAAAGTGAATAAATATGTTTATTTCACTTTTCATTGACAGAATATGATTCACACGTTTGAGCATCTTCCTGTTTTTGATCAAATGTTTTTGCTCAAGAGAAAATCTGACCTCATACTGGTCCCCAGGGCAGAGCCGGGCGAAGCCGATCAGACCTGCGAGTGAAAACATTTGGAAAACAGTGAGTCACTGATCACTTATAAACTGCTGTGTGTGTGTGTGTGTGTGTGTGTGTGTGTGTGTGTGTGTGTGTGTGTGTGTGTGTGCGTGTGTATCTTTCATTTTGATGTGTAGCTCTCCGAGGAGGATTTCTAACTCTCCCTCCATCACAGACATGTCCTGCAGAGGAGAAACTGGGTTAATGTGGAAATTTAGATAGAAAAGATAAAACTTAAATCTTCTTATTGTTGTCAACCACTTTTGCTTTTTCACCTATTTTCTGTCCACATTGAGGTCAAAGGTCACAATCATCATTGTATCTTAGTATTTCATACTTGAGGTGATAGAGGTTCAATCTGAACATATTGCAGACTCAGTACTGTTGATTTTTTTTGTTGTATAAAGTCTGTGTGTGTGTGTGTGTGTGTGTGTGTGGTTGCAGAGGCATACACAGATGTCAGTGTTACAGACAGAGGTGCTGACCTCCCTGTGAAAGGCTCTGTGGTCAGTCATCCTGAATGAACATGTGACAAAGTGAGGTCTGTTAGCATGTGTCGTAGCTCGTGTGTGTGTGTGTGTGTGTGTGTGTGTGTGTGTGTGCTGTAAAAACATCTGAAAGGGAAACTTGTTGCGGTCGATCAGTAAACGACAGATTTCTAAACAAAAGGAGCAGGTGACTGTGTGAAAGGAGAGGAGGAGGAGGAGAAGAACAGATGTGAAGGCGTGAGCACGTGTTGGAACATGAGGACGAGAATAAATGTTCTGCTGTTGTATCTTTTGGTTTTTTTAAGATCAAAACAAAATATGAAAAAAGAATATTTTCTAATGAATCTTTTACATCCATAAACAAAACCTCACTTTCATGTTTTCTACAAAGAAATGGAGCTGAACATGACGACAATCACTTGTTAAGCTGTTAAAACTTGTGCTCCCATTTCACGTCTTCATCTAAGTCTTTCTATTTATTTACCTTTTCCCCCAGTGTTTTTTATTTGCTTATTAATTCATTTTCTTACAGTATTGTATTAATGTTGTTATTATTTTCTTGTAATCAAAACTTCTGTACCTTACTCTTCATGTTTTTGACCTGAGCTGCTGTGTGACGGACGGACAGAGACACAGACAGACGCTGTGAATGAGTCCTCAGTTGTCTGTTAATGAGCCGTAGCCTGCGGCTGCAGACAGGAAGTCACAGTGGGACCATCACTCACACCAGATCTTTTTCATTTGGCAGCATTATGAGCATTAGGGGCGAGCGTGGAGGCGATGGAGAAGTGGCGGCCACTTCCAGCCTGATGAGACGTTTCAATTACAGACGGTCGTCTCTGATGGTTCAGACTCTGTCCTCAGCTTCAACAAAAACCTTCATCTCGGGTTTATTTTCTGCAGATGAACGGATTCATTCATTCACCTCCAGTCCGGCTGCGTTCTTTCTGTGTGATCGTTTTTTAATCCAACTGTTTGTCTGGATCCGTGTCTGCCAGGAGCCTTAGTGGCTGCGGCCCAGTTTACACAGTGTTACACAGTGTTTCTGTTCAACACATAAAACGCTGCATTTAGTTTTTTATTATTCAGCCTGTCCCGGATCTTCATGCTGTTTTCTCATTATTTACTGTCCAGTATGTGGACGTTTTTTTTTGTTTTTTCTTCCTTTTTGATGAATCAGCTTTTATTTCTGATCAAACTGCAGAAAGCTGAAAGTAAAGATAAAGGTGCAGCACTCTCTATGTTTTATCTTATATTGATTTTATTAGTATTATGTATGTTTGTCTATTATTATCAAATTATCTTAATTGGCTTTTTAATTGCAAGAACGTATAATACACACAATCGACTAGACCACAAACAGCTTCCACAAGCCGGTTGCTGCTTGTTGCTTATTGGTTTTATAGTATAATTATTTATTTATTATGTATAATCTCTTTTACATTTGCCTCTTTTGACTGTTACAATCACCTCTGGACCTGGTGTTTGTGTGACGTCCTTGATTAGTAAAATATAGGATGAACAAAGACACTAAAATAAAGTTCAACAGTTTAATTAACTGCTTTAGATCTTTATCGATTTAATATTTGTTTAATGAACATGTTTTTGAATATTCAAATTACATTTACACACATTACACTTATTTTTTTTTATTTTTGTTTTCGAAACATCTGACTTCTTTAACCATCTTGGAAACGAATTAGGAAATCAATAAGAACCAGAATCAATATAATTCAAACGGTACTCATCCCTATCCACAATATTAAAAAATAAAAACAACAATAATGGCAAAAATAATATAAGTTGCTCATTTTACAGAGGTTGAAACTGTGTCCCAGTTGAGGACGCGGTCAACGAAGGTGTGGCTCTTCGTAGACCGCGAAGGCCGAACGGAAATGAGATGGAGGGTTTTTCGCTGTGCTGTTCCCGCCCTTACCGCTGCGTCGCAAAGCGCTGCTCCTGTCGCCTAGCAACCTTGACAACAGGTAATTTTTCTTTCACAAAAACTTGAGGTTTTAAAAGTCGTACCATTCGCTGCAACAAGACATTTACATCTAACAGTGTGATCCTCAGGCTCTCTGTCGGCGCTGTTTGCTTTCATTAACGGCACGCAATGAATCCTGGGATAGGTCGGACCACGAAGGATCCAGCTGTTGGCGCCTTCGTTGCCCAGGAAGAGAAATTGGACAGTCTAGTCCCGCCGCTGTGACGTAGTCGGTCTTTAAACGCAGCGTCTGAACTGGGACACAGCTGTAGTCCTGTGTGTCAGTGACTCTAGTAGGGAACTCCAAAAATGGAGGCCAATAGAGAAGAAAAGGCCGCGGCGTCTGTTACCGCCATCTCACCAGGGAGCAGAGCAAAGACTGATGGGAGGTTTTTCTTGTTGAAATAGTGAGCTACAGTGACGTCCTCCCTTCACACTCACAAACACACACTCGTGTAAAGTTTGAATGAGCTTTGATGAAAGTGAAATCCGCCTCCGCTCTGAAAGTTGTTTGCAGCAGGAAAATGTTTAACCTTTGACCTGCAGGAGAAAATGTTCAGCTGATGATTCCTGCTGCACAGATGCCACTTGAAAAAAAATCCCATTGAAGTTGTTTCTGATGACAAAAATCATCAAATCTTAAAAATGGAAAGTTAGCTTTATTTTCTTGCTAACGTTTATGAACTTTAATGAGTTTCTGAAACTGTGTTAAAACGTTTGAGTGTTAAACTTTGAGGCAGAAACAGAAACGGGATGTTGTACCCTGACTTCTTTTCTTTTTTGTTTTGTGGATGGTTTCATGTGTGACTGTGTTTAGTTGTGTCTCGACCATGTGTGACCTCTGTCTGCTGCACACATGCTGCGATGGTGGCACAGCAGTGATTCATGATTCAGTTTAAAGCAGCAGAAACACACACACACGGCAAATAAAAATGAAACCTGCTGTGTGTTTGGTTTGTGAACATAAACAGAAAATACTGTTTATTTGCTCGTTTTAATTTTATCGGTCCAGGATGGTAATTGTAAAGATATGTTGATGGTAACACGTCGGCACTGTGACATCAAGATTAACTTCAAACACGCGTGTAAAATCACACACACACACACACACGCTGTGATCAGGGCAGTACCTGCAGGCTGTGTCTGTGGTTGCGGTTGAGCTCCAGCAGACTCTCCCTGGAGGCTCTGGTGGACGGGGACAGGGAGAAGGCTCTCTTCATGTTGACCGCCCCCTGACACAACCTCCACTGGATACAATAGGTCTCATACAGCTCCTCCACCTGTGGGGACGAGAGGCGGACGTGACGGAGAGGACTGACATCAGCTGATCAATCACAGCGACAAACGACACACACCAGACTTCAGGGAGAAAATCGAATTCAGGGTTAAATGATTTGGATCTGCCCCAAAATCTTAATGGGTTCATCTCTGGACTATGACTCATCCCTCCACCACATTCAGTGCAAATCGGTTCAGTATTTTTGATATAATCCTGCAGACAAACCAACAGACAACTGATGTGCTGTTGTTCCATTGCACTTTAAAGATAAATGAAATTCAAAACAGTCAAAGCTTCTTCAAAGTTTTCCTTCTGAGAGACGACAGGAATAGTTTTAAAGTCGTATCCATCCGTCGTCAGGGGTGGACAGTAACAGAGTACATTCACTTGAGTATTAAGTATATTTTTACAGTATCTGTTCTTTACTTTAGTATTTTTTATTTTTTTTGGAAACTTATGACTTTTACTCCACGACACTAAAAAGACAAATATTATTTTGACTCCACTACGTCTCTATGAAGTACTCTTACTTTGAAGCAGAGCTTTTATTCAGTGGAATGAATTCTCTTTTATTTTGAAAATGTGATACACCATACACTGAGTTCATCACAGGAGGAAAATCCCCTCCCCTCCACTGTCAGTGATGTCTGAACCCGTCAGCGTCCTAACGAAGGCAGTGTCAGATAAAGACGAGGCAGAAGATGCTTCAAGTTTAAAAGGTTCAAATTAAATAAAGAGTCCTTTACTTTTTAAATGTTTTCTGTGTTGAACACGACCAGAATTCATCTCTACCTACAGAATTTTGCCATGACGTGACTTTAGAGAGCACGTCGAGGAGTTACATGTTCTTCATTTTCAGATAAACAGTTTGTAGTTTTGTAGCTTGATTTTGTTGATTCAATTGTGTTTTTATTGCCATTTTAATCAGGTTTGTATCATATTCTACAAGCTGTTTATTCTGCAGGTTCTACAGTCAGTCAGTCAGTCAGTCAGTCAGTCAGTCAGTCAAGTATTTTAAAAACCAGGTACTCCAGGTCTGTAACTCAAGTAAAAACTTGTACCTTGCTGATTTGAAATTCCAGTCGCCGTATGTATCGCTCCAGCGCTCTGATCTCCTGTGAGGGCGAAAATATGATGCTTTCAGTTTTGGTTCATTACGTCACATATTGATCCGTATGAAAGGTGAAAATGTTTTTCAGTGTTTTTGACAGAAAGAAAAAATAAAAAGGTGGATCAGCTGTGGTGGAGAGATTACCTTCTCCAGATCGTAGAGAAAGGCCTGGAAACAGAGAAGAGGCATCATCATCATCGTCATCATCATCATCACAGGTATGTATGTACACACACACACACACACACTGAGTCTGTCCTCACCAGCCTGGAGTTCCTCTTGGTCTCTCTCTGCTGTGACGACAGGAAGTCCATCTCCACCTGGTGACCCTCCAGGTATTCCCTGCACACAGTCACATCCCGACACGTGTGAATCAAAGTGACATTTCATCACAGACTTTTTACTCCAATCAGCTGACTTACCTCTATGACGAGATTATAAATGGTTAAATGAAATGATTAAAAGTTAAACCAGTGCTTTCATCCTTTCCTTTTGAGACGTCTCGTCATGTTTCAGACGTCTGTGGTTTGTGAGCAGTTTCACCAAAGAGACGTTTCATTTCAATAACTGAATAAATGGTGAATTTTTCTTCACCTTCCATAAAAAAACAGCTAAGATTAAAGAAAAAAGCTAAATAATACAATATTATAATATCAGTTTGTTTTTCTTCTTTTCTTTTCTTCTACTTTTAACCAATACTTTTACTTTTGGTCTTCGAAGTACATTTTACTGATGGTACTTTCCCTTTACATGTAATGGAGTATTTTCACATTGAGGCAATGGATGTCTCTGGTGTTCAGCACGTACTTGAGTCCTTTGCGTAGCGCCTGGAAGACGCTGTCGACCTGCTCCGGCTGCAGAGACCAGATACCCCCTCTGCTGGGAGAGAGGTGCATCCTGGGAGATTTCCCCCCCGTGGTGGCTTTGGAGCGAAGAGAGTTCCGGGCGGAGGACGGCCTGAAAACAGAGATAAAGACACGGAGGGAGATTTTCAAACTGAGTTTTTACTGAGAATTAAATTCTTATTCTGTTAGAATTAGATTTATTTTATATTCTGGATTTACTTTGAGACTTTCTGTCAGACCTGACTCAGATTCAGTCCAGCAGTTATCAGTAATCACTGGAGGAAGAAATGTTGAAGCTGCTCTCGAAGGTCCGTCACCTCATAATAATGAAAGTCTGACGAGATGAAGACGATGACTGATTTTTGTTGTGACGACAGAACGACGCACAGAGAGGCTCTTTCTGATTGGACGCCTCATTGTTACCGAAGGCTGCACCTTTTTTCTCTCTTTTGGTCTCTGTATGTGCGACGCGCTGGAACTCCTCATCTCGCTTCTCTTTTTATTTTTTTAATATTAATTATAGAGTTGAACCTCAGCGGTGAAAAGTTTCTCCTCATCTTCTCCTTGTTCCTGTTTCCTGTGACTGTCCGTCGGCCTGCGGTGAGAGGGTGATGGTTCATAGATTCATGGGGTCACCTCGGTCTGTTAGGAATCAGTGTTGGCGAATAACTCAGATTCGTGATCTGACGTTGCTGTGGTTACAGTTTGGTTTAGGTTTATGGTGAAAAAATGTGGTTTGGGTGAAAACGACCACTTTACAGGGAACGATCGTGGTCGTGTGGTTCAAAGAAACCACAGACTGTCGGCGGGAAACTGGAAATGAAGATGGTTCGTCCTGACCTCCTCCCTCTGGGGAGGTGTGTGTGTGTGTGTGTGTGTGTGTTTACTGTATGTTTAAAATGGAAAAATTTGTCTCTCTCACACACAGGAAGTACATTCCAGCTCTGTCTGTCTTTTTTATCATGACATTTTGTTCTCTCTCTCTTTCTCTCTCTCCGTCGACGTCTGTGAGCTCCCTCATTCACAAACAACATCTTGAAGTCTGTGGTGCGTTCACTGTCTCGCCGTCAATAAGGGACAGGCTCGTCTGAGGCTGAAGGGATTTCCCTTCTTTCAAATCTTAAAGGGCAACAACAGATTTTTATGTTCTGTCGTTTTATTGTTTCGCAGAATGAAAAACAAACTTCCGCAGAGTCTCGATCTGTTGCGGTCGACAGAACTTCCTGTCAGTTCGTCTCCACCGGGAAACCGTTTGTCTTTCAACCCACGTTTGTTTTGTTGCTTCCGACAGCAGGAGTTGTGTTTAGCAGTGAAAAGGTTTAACAGGTACACCAGGTACCGGACCTTGGTTGTCGTGGTTACAATAATAAACACGCAGACTGTGCAGACAGCGGCGTACTGGACCTTTATCGCCCTGGTTACAATAATAAATGACTCATGACTTGGTTAGGTTTGGGAAAAGATCGTGATTTGGGTTAAAATAAGTACTCTTGGAAGATTAGACCATCTTCGTTGTCATGGTTACAATAACAACAATGTGTTAAAGGTTGTTGAACGGTGCGTTTTGTTGACCTCCACCTTCTCCTGACGTGGACTCTGTCTCTCTTTAAACTTTTTCCTTCACTGCTGTCATTGTTACTACGAACACCAGATGTCGCCTAGCAACAAAACGTAACTGTGATGTCATAACAACCTGCTGCACAGGCGACCTGTGGGCTCATTTCTAAAGTTAGCTGTTTTTGTTAGCCGTTCTAGCGTTAGCAGTAGCTGCCGCCACTTCCTGCATCGCCACCTGCTGGTCACAGCCCTGTTCACACTGTCAATCAAACACAGCTGGATGGCATCTGGATGTTCGACCACATGGAGGGTCTTTCCTAACCAGAAGAGTTTTTACACATTTCAAATGATGCACGTGCGCATGTGTGTGCTTTAGGTGCATTTAATAGCGTGGGAAAGACTGAAATCTGCAGGAAACAGCGTGGTTAGAGGTCTGACAGAAGTCTAACGAGTTCCACTCTGTCATTTTTTAATACAATTAAAGGTTCCTGAGTGGTTCGTTATTACTTCTCATCAGTGTCACTGACCGTCGTCGTCCAGTCAGAGAGCTGAACCCGGTGAAGGAGCGGCTCCTGTGGACCAGACCGCCGTCTGAGGGCGAGTCGAATCGCAGCTTCACCGACATCCTGGAGAGAGAGAGAGAGCGAGAGAGAGAGAGAGAGTCAGTCACATCTGTGGGGCAATCAAAAAAACACAAAATTCCCACCATCACAACCTCAACCATGTTGTTATTATTGTAACCATGACAACAAAGATCATCCAATCCGCCCGTCTAATCTTGAGGAAGTACTTATTTTAACCCTAAATCGAACCGAGTAGTTTTTTGTGCTCAAACCGAACCGAGCCACGAGTTTATTGTTTATTGTTGTAACCATGGCAACCGAGATCCGGCACGCCCGCTTCCATAGGGGGCGCCGTTTCAGGAGACGCTGCTGTGGGTCGTATCAGAGGGATCGGAGCAGACGAGCTGTGCGGTTGTTGAGGAGGCATCGATCTTTCACTCAACCTCAACTAAAGAGCTTCTGTTGCCTGAACCTCAGACTCTGCTGTGACAGTCGTGAGCTCTGGACGCTGACGGAGACTCATGCCTTTAAAATATAATGCTTCATTTATTCAAAAAGAAATGAAAGACGGAAAGAAAGAAATCCAGCCAGAGATCACGTTTCCACCACAAGTTAATTCGGAAACATCTTAGTATTGTTTCTTATTTGGGTTGATGAAGCCATGAATGTTCATCATGTGTTACTGTTGTTAACGATCATGTCATTGACTTTGTTATTCATCTTCACTCCTCCTCAACACACACATGCAAACACTTAAACAACAGCAACCAGAGCCCCACCAGCATCATCATCATCATCATCATCATCTCTGGGACACGTTAAATAAAGAACATCTTAAAGTCTGGAGCTCAGATGGCGGAGCAGCAAAGTTTTACTCTGAGTGTCGAGGTTCTGACTGAAGAGGGAAAAACAAACCAACAAGGAGAAACTGTGACGTGTCATTTCAACATCTACCACTTCCTTTTAAGGCGGTCAGCGTCGCACAGGTTTCTCACCAACCTCAGTTTCTGCTGATAAAGTTCAAAACAACTTTTGACACACTGGACCGAAGAGACGTCGTCAGAGAGATTCTCAGACACAGATCCAGCGTGCATCTTCATATCCTCAAACTTTTTGGGAAGCGCCAGTGTGACTTCTTGGTTTCTGTTTGCTGCTTCACCGTCGTCTAATTCTGCTGGACTGGAACGATGTAATCCCTCCAAATCATACGCAGTGGATCAAGAATATCTTAAATTATATGAGGCTAGGCCCCACTACGAGGCTCAGCGGGTAAATTCTGTAACATCTGGAGACCTTTTCCACGAGAACCCCGTATGATGACGGCTCTGTCTGAATATCAGAAACCTGCTCTGTCCCTGAGGACTACGACTCTCTCTCTTGAACTTAATTTCCTTTTTTCTTTCTTTATTTTATTTTATTCTATATTTATTCTTTCATATTGTAAAGGATATTGTACTTGTTCACTTTCTGTATTTATATTTTATTCTATTTACTTACTGTGTATGTGAGTGGTGGGTTTTTCTTTTAATGCACATCATTTAAAAAAGCAATGTTCAAAACCAAAACGCTTTAGACAATTACACGTGTAGCTGTGGCTCATTTGCATTAAAATTTGATTCAGACAAAACTGGATTATGATATAAAAATATATAAAACAAGCAAGTGTGGCACAAAGGAGAAATAAAGTTTTGATACTCAGGTAAACATGATCCGGTTCCACAGACAAACACTGTGTGTAAGCAAGTGTAGTGTCCTCACACACACACACACACACACACACACACACACACACAGTCTGGATGCCATCTGCTCAGACTTTCATGTGGTCCCTGTGAATGTTTGTTTGGTTGAAGCTACAACAACAACGTCACTCTTCTCTTTGGCGACACGGTGATCAGCTGTTTTTTTGAGGAAAAAGTCCAGACATCTTCATTCAGCATCTGATCGAGGTCGACTGTTGATGATGTGTCTCTGAACATCACGAATGTGCAGTTTTTGGTCACTTCCTGCAGATTAAACGCAGAGTCGCTCCTGATTTACTGTCTCGCTGAAGAGCGCTTCAGCAGACGAGCTGAATCCAGGCCATCCACGCTCCCCCCATGACGAGGATTTGAACCTGAACATGCTGCCAGTATAAGTGGTTCTGGAGTCCCGATCCAGAATGTGAAACACACTCCGGTTCTGATGCCAGAACCAACACGGTCGCCTAGCAACCACACATAACACACAGGGATGGAGAGACCAGGTCTGATGGCTCCCGACCAAAGTTAGTCAAGTAAGCACTTCTGCTGTACCCCACACACACACACACACACACACACACACACACACACACACACACACACACACACACACACACTCACTCTCTGTAGTGTAAGTCTAGTATTTCTTGTTTAACAGGGATAAACATATTTCTGTGTTATCATTTCATGCCTGTTGGTTCTTCTTCTTTCTTCGTAGTGAACCTGAACGTCTCACGACAACAACATTTAGCTGTTCAGGTTTAAATATAAAATGAGTTTTAGATGAGGAAGCTGTGTCTAGAGATCAGTGGACCTTGAAACTCTCTGCCAAAAACAAATGCTTCTTCTCGAGGGTATGTGTCCTAACATCATCCGTCTCCCTCCATTAACTCTCCACAGTGCTGGAAAGTACCGAGGTCACACATAACAAATTAGAAAAAATGGAAAACTGGGTCTGAAGCTCATCTCCTCTTACTTCCTGGTTGATAAACCTAGATCAGGCCTTAAGCTCCGCCCACCCCCTGCTGGCTCCAGGTGGACAGGTGAAAGAGCAGAGAGCATCAAGATGGTGAGAGGAGGAAACATCAGAGAGACTCAGCCACATGTTTGAGCCTCAGTCAGACCCAGACTCAGAGGAGGAGTCTGAGACCAGAACCAGAGACTAGCAGACGGATCAGAACCGTTAGCTAGTTAGCATCTTTTATTTGTTTATGTTGTTTGTTATCTTGTAACTGGCAGTTGCTGACACAGTGTTAGCGGTTGTGCTAATGCTAACTCTCTCTCTCTGTACTGACAAGATTTCCCCACAAATCCAGTTCAAGATGGAAACACTTCAATATTTCACTCTTAATCTGTCTTATTATATAAAAACATCATGGACGTTAACAAAGTTAAACACTTGATTTACATCAGAGTCTTTAAACTGTTTTTACATCTGTAAATGTACTGTCTAATGTTTTCCGTCTGTGTGTGTTGTTATTGTGTGTGTGTTCTGATGTGTGTGTGTGTTCTGATGTGTGTGTGTTGTTATTGTTGTTGTGTGCGTGTCACAACAGGAAGTTCTTTACAGAGAGAGCTGCACTCATGTGGCTTCATGTATTTACAGATATATTTAGAGATATATTTGGTTTATTCTTTGTGAATGTCAACTCACTTATTAAAATGTAAATTATTATTATTATTATTATTATTATTATTGTTATTATATGTGCTGAGGATAAGAAACTCTAGACCTGAGGGGATCAGTTCAGAGCGACAGACTGACACAGGTCGGTCCTGGCCGAACGCCACGTCGAGCAGCTGTAACAAGAGATGTGAAGAATCTAAAACACCTCCACCATCAGACAGACAACATCCATCTCCACCCGTCTGCTCCGTCACAGTCTCTGCTCGTAAACGCAGCATTTTTCAACTTGTCAGTGCAGAAGAAGAAGCTTCAGCTGTTTCACTCAGTCATGTATCTGTCTTGTTTTACTGTCGTCACAGCAGCTCGATGCTTCAGTCTGCTGAGAGTTACACTTTGCACAAAAAAACAAAAACAAGAGTCAGATTTTTCTCTTTGTGTTTGTTCAGAAGAATTCGGGGGTTTCCTCCGAACCACTGAATCAGCACCACATGTGGCCGTGAAGGAGAGAGGCCGACAGAGGAGGGAGGGCTGTGGTCGTTAGCTTAATCAAATCCTGACACGCCCTCTACTCCTGTGAACGAGCTGTTTGAAGAGGGGGGGGGAGGGGGGGGGTCTAGGTCACACACACATGCACAGCTGAGGTTGTTGGATGTTGTGAGACATCCAGTGTTTACATGAAGACAGAAACTGAAGAAAAGAGTCACATCTGACAGCAGGAAACAGGAAGATGTTAGTGATGATGTCATAAATGGAGTCGTCTTCTTAACTTTGAAAACTTTCCCAGTCTGCATGCTTTCCCGCTAGCTTCAGAAACGCTCGTCTCCCGCATGCTAACCACCACCATGCTAGCCTACAGCCAAACCTCCAATATACTAGCCACCAGCCAGCCCCCCAGTCTGCCGGCGTCCTGTCTGCTCCCAGTATCCAGTCTGATCCTGAATCTGAAGACCCTGCACTGTCCCCTTTCCTGGGGACTGTCTCCCTGAGGTATCTTGGAGTTGGAGTCCCTAGAATGAAGCGTGGGTCTCAGAGATGTCGACCCCCCCCCACACGCCCAATGAACAATGAGACTCAGCTGCTCAGCAACCCCCCAGCATCGCCAATCTCCAGGTCATCTCCTCATCCTCATCTTCCTCCAGAGGGGCTCAGCCTGAGCTGACAGCTTCCCGCTCAACCTCTACATCTTCGTCACCATCAGACTCCTGCTCTTCCTCCAGAGAAATCCTGCCATTGTCTCTGCCTGTCTTTGTTTGACTCTAGACCGTCTGTCCAGCCTCTGAGTCCAACTGAGGTCTTCTGTTCATCAGCTCTCCATCCCCTGAGCTCCCTCCCTGCCCAGCCCCCCGAGATCCCCAGCTCCAAAGTTTAAAGTTTTGTTCACCTTTGTTTTCTCTCTCAAATCAGTTTGACTGAAGCTCAGGGTTTGTAGTTGTGGCATGTTATGTCGTATTTCTTTAGATTTCTTTGACTCTCGTGATTCACAATCAACAGAAAGAGGCCGAGGCTGCAACAATAAGATCCAGTGGCTGTGGTGTAATAAACCAGGGAAGTCCTTTAGCTCCTGGTCAGTTAAACATGAGCACTGGGTCGTGATTAAAGCAGAGGAAACTTTTAAAGTCATTCAGTGAAGTCAGCTGTTCCTACGACCTCCACTTCATTTCTTTCCACTGATGTCTCAAACTACTTTCTACGTT